GTCCTGCAAGGGGCGAAATCAGACCCACGGGTGAGGTCTTTCGGATGAATGGGGAAATTCACAATCATCGGCCAGAATTCGGCGGGAAAGCCTCGGATGTCTTTTCGGCAAGGGCTAATTGGCTACAAACTCTAAAGGACAATCCGCAGAACAAGCCTATGAAGACCATCATTGGCCATCGTCGCAGGTACTGTCCGACTATCAAGGAGCCGGAATCCCCAGTTACTGGATTAGGTGTTTCAAAGTCAATGTCTAACTCCGATAATATCTCACCAAGATTGAGGCAGGAGGCTGCAGCCGAGGTAGTCCCTGTGCGACACCTCCGCACCGCGCGGCGGGTGGCCGCGTCATGTAGGCCACCGCCCGTGCAGACATTGCAGGATCTCCACAGAGCCATCAATTCCCAGGACCTCGAAGGCTCGAAGGCTATACGCGGACCATAGACGGGGAGCGGTTGATCAGCGTCCGGTTGGAGGAGTTCGGCAGTGTTCTGATTACCACAAGACGACAGCTCGAGACTTTGACGCTCTCTACGGTCCTCCAGGCCGACGCCACGTATAAGATCGTCCGCCGTGGTCTGTGTCGGCAGCTCTTCACAATACACGGCAATTGGGATGGATTTGTGAGTCCTTGAACTCCTAAGAGGAACATGCAAGAAAGACTATATCGAGGAAGACTAATGGATATAGTTTCAATTCAAGAGGACATTTCGATTCAGAGCTCACGGATATAGGTCAGGATGCATCCTACATCGACGTCTACATGTGTCGGAGGCAAAATCATGTAACCTCAATGACGACCACCGATTGCACATTTGAACCCTCTCAATCGGCTGAACGTGTGCATGTGGAATCGGGATGGCCTCTCACATCGAAACTCTTGGTGAAAGAATTCTCCTCAGTAGACTTCCTTCTTCCTTCAAGGTCGGACTGGTAGCCGTGGCATTCTTGCACCGCTCCAGCCGCGCGGCGTATGCCGAAGTTTTCCAAGCATTGAGACGAGAGCTCCCTGAACTCGCGGTCACGGTGTTCATGCGCGACTTTGATCAAGCGATGCGAGGCGCGGCTGAGGCTGAGTTCCCCGGCGTTCGCATACTCGGATGCCTGTTCCATTACGCCCAAAGCATTGTCAAACACGCCAGCTCGCCCGCCGTCGGCCTCGCTCGCGAGATCAGGCGTCCTGGACCCGTGACCGCGAGCTTCCTCGCCTTTCTCGCGCTGCCCTACCTCCCGGCGGTGCATATCAATGCAGTCTTCGAGGAGTGCGCCCGAGAGGCCCTTGCGGTCACGTCGCGGGTGAGCTCACGACTAACACACAACCGCGCTCTCATGGCGATATCTAGACATCTAGAATCTAGACTCATCTTCTGTGCTATAGAATCAGACTACGTACAGCTGCTGGCAACGAGCAGCATCCTGACATCGCAACCCATTCTTCAGTTTCAGCCACTCCTGGACTACATCCGGAATCAATGGCTTACCCGGGTCGGAGCCGATCGACTGTCGATTTTCAGAGTTCCGGTCAGAACGAATAATGCAGTTGAGAGCTGCAATGCCACTCTTAAGCGCGATGTCGGAGTGAATGCGCAGGTCTGGGACTTGATCGGTAAGGGTCCTCCGGTGTAAGCTTCGATCTCTGCGGAATTTCGACTCTCCCGATTTCCCAGGATATACTCCCGGACTCCGCTTCTTATGCAGCTTCACTCTGCGGCATCGCGCAAGATATGCCAACGGATCTCTCAATCGCCCGAAGGGGCATCAGGCACATAAGATGCGTGCCTGACGCTGGAAGTTTGTCGAATTGTGGGAGTTCCTCCAATTGGGGTCAGAGCCCCATTGTCCGTTGAAACGGGGTTGGTTCTTGATTGAGAGAAGAATGCTTGCTGACTTGATGATGAGTGATTGGATCTTGCTTCGGTGGATAACCGAGTTTGCTCGACCTCTATCCAAGTCATAGAGATTCTTAGAGTTTGGGATTCCTTCGGCGTCACCGCCCAAACTTGCTTGAATGATTGCCACGACATGGGGAGGGCTTCTAGGAGGCGAGAAATGAGCATGTCCGGATCAAGGGTGCCTCCAAGTGAGATCACCTCTTGCTGGAGTTTGCGGAAGCTATTGACATTGTTTTGCGGGGTTTTTGTAGAATCGAATTGGAATCTATCTATATATATAAAAGCGAATGTATGTGGGTCTGTGGGTGACCTATAGACTCTCAAGCCATTGCGCGGATCGACGCCAATTTTGGTCTGATGGTCCACCGGGCTCTTTGGGAAGGTTCTTAAGGGGTCGTTGTCTGTCTGCGGTTCACCGTTCTGTTACAAAAGACAATTATTGCGTCCAATTGGTGCTTCGTCGTTGGATGTGAGTTTCAATCTACCGTTGCTGGGAACGGGTGGAACAGGGAGACAGCTAAATTAAGAGAAAGGGGGTAAACGGGTGCCCGTTCAGATCGTGGCAAGTCAGGAGACTTTGCTCTCAAAGAAAATGTGGAGACAGAGAGAGCGGGGGGAGGGAGAAGCAAGGGGAAATCTTGAAACGGATAAGCACGAACGGGGAAAACTAACCCGATTCGAACCCATCGGAGTGAAAATCAGCCGAGAAATTAGCACGGGAAGATGAGGGGGAGGGGACTGGACCTCACGATCATCAGTGTTAAGAGCGGAAACAGACATGAAGAGGGCAGTTTTCGGCGAGGTTCAACAGAAAGCGCGTATATCCGAATTCACTCATGCCCGTTCCTTATACACCGCTGCTGAAAATAGAGGACAGGCAGACGCGTTTTTCTGGACGGATGGAAGAAGATTTTGAAGCCCAGGGAGAGGGGAGAAATGGAAGGGACTTGGGGAACGGGGTATATAGGGACCACGGAGAGGGTAAACGAGGGCACGGAGGGAGAACGGGAGAAGGATTCAACGGGAGGAAAGGTAGGGAGACGAGCAAGAGACACGGGGGAACAACGGGAAACGGAAAAGAGGTAAGGGGGGCTGGATGAGAACGTGGTACTCGAGAGGAGCGGATTGAGCATCGGAAGGGAGGATATAGGGGCAAACGGGGAAAAAGAGAGAAACAGGGGTACAGAGAGAAACGGGGATTCAGAGGAGAGGGGATTCAGAGAGGAACGGGGATTCAGAGGAGAGGGGATTCAGAGAGGAACGGGGGAACAGAGAGAAACGGGAAAGAATTGAGAAATTAGACGAAAATGAGGGTATAAGATGAAACGGGGCGGAAGGAGAAGGGACATGGAGCAAATTGAAGAGAGAGAAAATCGAAAATGCGCAAAAGGGAAGAACACCAAACGCGGAGGAACACGGAATGCTCGCGGCAAAAGCGCGACTATATAAAAAGCGAAATGTATGTGGGTCTGTGGGTGACCTATAGACTCCCAAAACCGCTGAACGGTTCGTCGTCAATTTTGGTCTGATGGTCCAGCCGGATTCCGCGAAGGTTCCAGGGGGGTTGCTCTGTGTCAGCGATTTACCGTTCCACAAAAACAGAAATATCGTGTTCAAGCTGGTGCTTCGTCGTTCGAAAACAGGTAGAATAGGGAAAAATGGAGAGTGGCTAAATGGGTGCCCGTTCAGACCAAGGCGAATCTTCGGACTGCCGCCGCACGGGGAAATGTGGACACAGAAGCGGTGGAAGGGAGTGGGGGACGGGGAAATATTGAGGAGGATAAGCCCGAACAGGGAAAACTAACCCGATTCGGACCCGAACGGGAATCAGCAAAGGAATTAGCACGGAAAGGAACAAAAAGGCGGGCGAGACCATACGATCATCACTCCTAATAGCAGGGGTAGTTTTCATAAATGTAGGGGGCAGTTTTCGGCGAGATTCAACAAGGAAGCACATATCCGTTGTCAGTGATTCCCGTTTCTATTCACCGCTGCGGACCGGATGGAGCAGGATTATGAAGCCCTGAGAGGGGGAATGGAAGGGGCTGGGGAAACGGGGAAAATCGGGGGTACGGAGAAGGGAAACGAGGGAACGACGGATGGATGGGAGGAGGATTGAATGTGAGGAAAAGTAGGGAGACGAGTGAAAATACAACGCAATGGGAAACGAGAATGAAAGAAAGAGGGGGCTTGAGGAGAATGGAGTAATCAGGAGGAGCGGATCGACCCTCAGAATTGGGGATGTATGTATGTAGTGCGGGACGGGCTTCACAGAGAGAAACGGTGAAGAAACGAGAAATTGACGGAAATGAGCGTAGAAGATGAAAAAGAGCGGATGGAAAAAGGAAATGTGGGAAACTAAAGCGAGGAAAAATCGGAAATACGCGCAAAGAGGCGAACACACAGAACGCTGAGGAGCACGGGATGTTCGCGGCAACGCGCGACGGGCACGGCTAGTTGGAATATATTACTCATGGCAGCGTTCAATCGTGTGCCATTCATTGTTTCGAATTCTCTCACGATATCATTGTATTCATCGGCTGCAGTCATGGTCGAAACATCAAATGGGAATTTTAGCATTATGAGAGTGAAATCGAGAGAGTTCAGAATTATTCCTCTCGCTGTGGTATTGGCTTTTTCGAAACGGTTGTCTGCTATGGGAATTCGCCCACAGACGACGTCCCTGCAGTCTGTTCCCTGGGACAGCAGAACATTTATGATTTTCTCCCACACTTGATAGTTTTTCCAGATGATTCGACTTTGAAGGCCGAGAAATTCGGCATCTTCAACGCTTGGGTGTTGGTAGATTCACCTCTAAGCATTTTGGATTCGGTTGATAGTGCGGTTGTATTACTAAGATGGGAAACTGAATTGAATGAGTCCTCCAATACAAAGTAGCCGTCGCTATCGATCAAGCTATTCATCGACAAAATACTGCGGTTTTGATGACACTGTTGCGGTTTCTAGATTCTTCCTACTGGGAACTTACCCGACCGTAGGTGAGTATGGAGGTTTTGCTGAACTTTTTTTCTCACCTTGATGAACGAGTAAAGTGGTGATAACGTGGTAAGCAGGGAATTGGAAAGCTTGTACTGGCACACAAGATTGGTTAGTGAGATAGGGTAGAAGGCAGTAGGGTCGTCTCCGCTGTCGCTCAGCGTCACCAAGGCGAATCTGAGGCTCAGCCACCACACTCGTGAAGAATCGAAGAAGCACTCGGGTAGAGTTTCCACGGAAAGTGTGTTTATTGATTGAAAAAGGTTGTTACTTATACTGTTGTCTATGAGAGAGGGGAGCCTATGTAAGGGCGCCGATCCGGCACCCCTTCTACCGGATTGATGAGCACACCCAGTGCACTATGGGTCCCCATAATTAATCGCTGGGCTCTCACGAGCCGAGCGCTTCGTCGGCACTTGTGGTATGCGGAGCCGCTCTGATTCTCAACTCCGTGCTGTTTCGCAAACCGGGGTCCAATGAGACCCGGATGAAGTTAGATATGAGAATCCGAGATCGGCTGACTTCTAGCTAGCTTCTCCTGAAGACGGCTCAACCCATTTCGGATGATTCCGTCCCGATGACAGGTTGTTCGAGGCGAATGTTTGAGCGGTCTTCCAGAGATTGGAGATGCGTCATCGCGGGGTGACTCGGAGGCATCGCTATCTATGTTTCTCTATTTTCAACACCAGGATATACTCCCGGACTCCGCTCCTTATGCAGCCTACACTCTGCGGCATCGCGCAAGATATGCCAACGGATCTCTCAATCGCCCGAAGGGGCATCAGGCACATAAGATGCGTGCCTGATCGCCTCAGCCGCGCCCAGGATGAGAGAGTCAGACTCCTCTGGAACAGCATGGATGAAGGCAGCATATCCCCGAAGACTTTCATCGATCAAATCAAATATCGATTGGGAGGCGGTGGGTGAAACTCCTAGATTGAAAACTTCGAAGAAGCAGATATTTCCGGGTTCCGAGTTCATGAATGTGTCTTTGATCCTTCATTTGCAGCCTACCGGTTCCCCGAGGACCCATTGGAGGACGAGGAATGGGAGCGTTGGGTATCGGAAGGAACCGTCGGTCATCAAGATCCCGTTGCTCGAATGATAAGAACCATTGGCAATGATCACACATATAGTCTACTGTCGGCCGAAGCGGAACACTCCTTTATTGCGCAAGCTTTCGGTGAATCCGGCAGTCAGTGAAGATGGTATAATGTAATGATATAAAATGAAGAATATCTTATACATATGAGGGATATCCTACTAAATCGCATTTTTGATGACCACCATACTTGAGTATTCAATGATGCACGAGCTTGGCCGCCTAATCAGTATCGCGGAGGCAATCATCCAGGGCCTGACGTGGGCCTAGGTACTAGGTACCCGCGAGAAGGTCCCGAATCTCGGTCGGCGAGATTCCTCCCTCTAGAGATTGATGCTGTCTGGGATTCTCTGAGGGTCGGAATCGGACTCTTTGCTCATGATGTATTCCAGAGTTCAGCCAATTGGAGAAGTCTATGAGGAACGCCTGCTCCGTCACTCCACTACATCGCCAAGGCCTACTGCAATCGGCATTCGATATTTCGCGCCTCTCTAGCAGGTCGAAGCGGCGGCGGCTGAGCCTGTTGCCCCTCCGCCGATGACGTCTGCTAGCCTCCTCCACCACCGCTCGGAAATCTTAGCCTTAGGCCGTGTGTCCCGCGTAGACCCTCCCAACCATCAACGTGTTCGAATGTGTACATCATCAGTCTATCGCGCAGCAGAAAAGCCATAGAAACTCTCAGGGCTCTCGCTCGAACAAGGGACATGTTCCCCTCGATTTGAGCATCCAAATCCCAATCTGAAGACTGGAGCATCAGGAAACAATCCATCTCCTTACAGGAGCAATGTGCACATCCCGTGAGATCCTTGACGCGAAGTCGAGGTATCCCGATGCAACGGTGAGAATTCGCCCGGCGAAGCTTCTATGCCGGATCGGGGTCACGGAGTGCGCGTATGTGAGCCCCGGTCCCCGGCTCGATCGAACAGCTGATGGGCGCATGGGATCGCAGTAGGAGTTCCTCCCATCGTCAGGCTTAGAACAATCGGTTCATTGCCGATGCCTGTTGAGACAGCGATCAGATGAGCTTGCGATTCATTAGGAAATTGGCGACTGTGAGCGCAAGTCCCAAGACTCCCTTCGGACAACCGGCATCTCAGGCCAACAATGTCAACTTTCGGGTGAAGAGGCTGGAGAGTGATTTTTACTATAACTTGTTAGCGTCCAGACCAGCTTACATCATCGGTAAAGCAAAGAACTTCCCAGCAATGAACGCTCCAGGGGCCGTCGATGAATTCCTGCGGAACCCGGAACCGCTCGCGTCTGAGAATACTCATGCATATCTCCGTGAGTCAGAATTCGAATTCTTCCGTGCGATGGGGCATGGACTGGACGTCCTGCCTTCTAATCAACTTCTCGGTCCTAGGCTCAGAGATCGGTCGGCTCTCATCCCAAAGTGTCCTCGCCGTCATGCACAAACTTGTTGCGTTGCATAACACCGCACACGACGTCCGATCGGCGGAAACACTGCGAAAACTTTCCGTGAGTGAGCTTCCTCACAGAGGTCAGAATATCGCTTGAGCGCGCGGAGAGTAACTGATGGAAACTCCGAAAAATTCCACAGTACGCATGCCGACTGAGAGCCCGAGCCCTCATCGACTCGGAGCATTCCTTAGCTTTCGAGTTTTCGATGGCCGACTTACTGTACAGAGTACATCAGGTCCGAACGGAGTTCCACCACAAGATGCTCGATAAGCAGGTGCGTATAAAGCCGCTCAAGTTCTGCTCTGACTGAACTCAAGGTATGCATAGAAAGTCGAGGGGCATCGGATCTTTTCGGACACCATCTCAATCGGATCGCGCGTTCCAGTCGAAGGCCTTGAAGTATCTATCGGAAGCTGATTTCATTCAGCACCTGTTCTTCTGTCATTCGGTACGCGCCCTACCAACAGCGACGCAGGCAGCGGTGCCGATTTTCATAGAAAAGTATGTGGTAGCCAATCGAGTCAATTTCCTGCCTGGGATCCGTTTCCACGTTACAACTCACCGCAGAAATGAAATTGGAAAAAAATTTCAGCGTCATCAAAGATCTGCTCATAGATGAGGTTGCACTTATCTGCTTCGCCTGCTACAAATGTCAGTACTCGCTCCCAAAGCCGGAGCATTGGACAATGCTCATCGAAGCATTTCAGAATCACAAGGGGCCGCTTTCGGACATCAGCATGACGGTTTTCGCCAAGTACTTCAGGTATCAGAAGACTACCAACCACGTAGAGACTCAAATACTGCGAAAGTGAGTAGCCATTCCCCGTCTCGCGGCTCCGCCTGACCGTCGCATTTCCGTGCGAGAAGCTTTCTTGTCTATCATTCATCATGCACGAAATACCACGTTCGTCTGGAACAGATTCTTGGACGCGGCTGAATCGCGGCAGCAGGATTGGACTATCGCGACTCATATACGAGTGGCCAATGCAGGCACGCAGGTAGGATTGTTCCGCCAGAAGTACCCAGCATCGAGGAAATAAGTCCTTCCGACGACCTGATTCCATCGTCTTTGCGGAAAAAAATGCCTTTGCAGAGTGGTCAGTTCAATGAAGCGATCGTGACCGGTGCGATGAGAAAAATGATGAAGGAGTTGGGAAATTGTCGAGTCAAGGACATAAGCATGTGCTTATACTCTTACGCCTTCTTCGACCTGAAACTCTCTCCATCCGACGCCGGGGCGTGAGTACCCAGATGAATGGAGTGATATGTGAAATTGAATGAGCCGCCCCTTCATATGTCGATCATGAATCGACTCATGATTGGCGGATTTTTCAGCATAATTGAGGAGTTGAATAAGTCCGAGTGTCATGTGTTCCATGTCTGGTTCATCCGGGCCGTACTCTCGTTGGCTCTCCTCGGTTACTACGATGAAAGTCTCTTGATTAAATCATTCAAGATTGATTTGGTGAGTGGTCGTGCTGACGAGACCCAATGTCGGAATATTTACTGGAGTTCTTGACTTGATCCCGACGAGGGCGAATCTCCCGTCTCCCGGACCACCCTCGCCCACCGCACTCGGGAGCCGACAACGATAAAAGCCGGAATCATGGAACCTTTCCAGATTGATGTCAGGACGACGCATCTAAACAGCAGGTTCGATCTCCACGCTCTTTGGACTGTTTGCAATATCAAGTTCCCGAATCTCGTCGCGGAGAAGAAAGTGAGTAGGCGCTACGCGTCTCCGAAATAGTGTTTTTTTATCGTTGAATGGATACGTGACGGTGGACTGCTTGTTCATGCGTCATGAAACTAAAGCATCGTTTGTAAAAGGTTTCGCTGACTGACGAAAGTCTCCGAGGTATCCGCGCATGTAAAGTGAATAACCGGCCGGGAAACTATAACGAGGTGAATATAGTCCGGAGCCTTCTCGAGAGTGATCTCTGCTTGGACGTGAAGCTCGTCAATACGCTGGAAGCGTTCTCGGTGATGGATATTTACGTGAGTCTCCCAGGGAGTCGGTGTTTATCGCTGTGGCGAATTTCTCCTAAACGGAACATACGAGTCGATGTATCAGTGAATACGACGCTGAGCGCATTCCCGTCTTCCAGCTACCGGGGGACGTCGTCGTAGTCTGCCACGCTAGAACTTTCTACTCGACGAGTGGACGCCTCAAAGGGGTGAAAAGATTCCGGGTGGACCTGGTGAAGGAGTTGAAGCGTAAAGTTATAGAGATCACGCCAGATTTCTACGGAATTCCGAGGAGGCAGCAAGTGGATAGACTCCGGAAACTACTGGGGGATTACTTCTCCTTGTGACAGCGTCGCTCGATTCCGACGGGAAGCTATAGGAAGGAAGTTTGTTTGTAATAAAGTACCAAAGGAAATCGGGAGAGAGGAGCCGAAGGAACTGACTCATTCAATAGCACCTGTTCGCTCAGAGACATCGAGTAGGTGCTCTTCAATGACAGAGGTCCTCAAAAGGTGGCAGGCAGCGCAGACCCTAATCCATCATATCCTCCATGATCTTTATTTCCACGTCTAGGTTTTTCTCAGAATTCATTCAAGTTTCTAAAGCAAAACAGCTCGGCGGAATCCGCAGGTATCGGCATGTGCTAACATATATCGGTAGTTCTCTTTAAGGACTCCGGAATCATATTCAACGTCGGAGGCGCAATCGGTAGCTAGGTGTCCGTCGGCGACACGGAGTGAGTCAGTAAAAAATATATTTCCAGCGCTGACGCTGCCTATCGTTCGTCGTCTTCGAAGAGATCGTCTTTATAGATTATTGTTGCTGGTTTTGACTGTTTCAGAATCCCACTTGGGACGGCACTCTGAGACATAACACTCATCATCGGTGCAGTGCCTAACGGTTGCATTGGGGCTACTAGAGGGGGGCCGGGCGGAGAACCCGCATTCTTGACGGCTTCCGCGGAGTCTGCAACCGGCCCACGTGGACTCGCCATAGGCTGGGGCAGCGTTTTCATCGTGGAAGAATACATCTCCGGGGACGTGAGCTCGGGTTTATCTTCCGAGGTCGTTGGAGCCGAAGTCGAAACGGTCGATAGACTTGATAAAGCTTCCGACAGCCTGGTTCTCGGTGACTCGGCTTTCGGCTCAAGGATTGGCTTTGCATCAGTCGAACTCATCCCTGGCTTCGGAGAGGCTCTCGGTGTCCCTTCGGAAGGGGTAGCAGAGGTTCTCAGCTCAACTGTCCGCCTCTCATCCGTTGGCTTCATTTCGCTCTTAGGCTGCGGGAGAGAGACACAAAAAGTTAGGGAATACGCTGGATAGAGGCTGCCGCTCCTTCGGAAAAGCCAAGCGGTCTTCGGTTCGCGGAGCTTTAGACACCTCATAGAAAGCTTGCTTTAGCATTTTGGGGGTCGGGGGAAAAAACCGACCGAGAAAAGACAAAACGAGCTTCCAGATTTTGGATGGGGGCACAAAATTCTCAGCAGACGACACCGTCTGGCTCAGCAAAAAAGCAGCAACACGTTTGTCAGTCACCGACAAGAAATGGCGAAGCATACAAATCGTTCGGATCCCAGGTCACGATGCAAAGCTTCGCTCGTTCTCATGGGAGAAGCTACCTTTGGTTCAGATTCTTTTCCAGGAACAGGTGCCGCCTTCGACTTCGCGGTCGACTTCGCTTCTACTTTGGTCACTTCAGCTTTAAAGCTGTCGGTCTTCATCGAAGAATCATTCGCGACGGTTGTTGGAGCGTCCTGAGGTGTGGCTTGCGACACGCTCAAAAGATAATCTCCCAGGAAACTCACGGGAGTCGAAGGTCGCTTGGCACACACCACAATCAGGGCATCGACTAACACAGCTTCAACTCCGCTTCCCTCTACGTACCCGCGCTCCTCCTTATTCAACTCTGGTTGTCGGGGATAATCGGTTATTCCTCTCCTAAATCTCGACGGATATCTGAGTGCACGTCGATTTGGAAACTCGTCTCTTTCGAGTCAGGAAATCGCGTCCTTTGTGGCTTTCTAGAACGATGGTCGAGCTCTTTGCCAGCGGGCAGCATCGATCGGAAAATATGATGCATGAGGTCTGTATTCGATAATCTCGAAATTGAAGACTTGCTTACATCATGCTAGAAAGCCACGAGACACTCATCGGGAGATTCCAGTACACGATCGACCGTCCCGGCACGAGTATGTGGGCGGCTTCGCTTACCTCGAATCATGTTGGAGACAGTTTCCCTGACTTCTTGCTTCACGTCGGTCATGTTCGACGCGGATTTCGGTGGAGTCTGTGGCTTTTCGAATGTTTCGATTGTTGCCATATCTTCCTCGGGAGAGACCTGATAATTCCTGAAGATGTCCTCAATCGTGAGCACGCCTGGATGCGTTCGGTAGTAGTCTGCCGAGTTTCCGTTCTGAAAAGCGCATTCACCCCTTTTACTACACGCGGAGCGGACGCAGCACGGCTCGTTGGGCGAGTCCGAGTTCACCGAAACTGACTGAGAGGTCGAATGTGAGCGAGAATTTCACGCGGCTCAGTGACGCGAGCCAGCGCTTGATTCAGAATTTATTTCATTCCGATCAGGTATCGTCTCGATCCGATGGAGGTTAAATGCAAATGAAGCCCAATCTGTGAATTCATCCGAGGTCGACTCCGAGCTTCGATGAACTACCACTGGGCGGCGGAAGAGCGCTTTGGCGAAGTAATTAACGCAGAACCAGGAGTGCGCGCGACTCACTTTATCCTTGATATTGATATCCGCTCCAGCTTGCTTCAGGACTTCGTAGAAGTTCACGTCTATGGCGGGAGCAACAGCTGCGTAGTGAAGGGGAGTCCGGCCCTCGTTATCGGGGCCGTCTAGAGTTTCCGGGAAAAACTCCACGATGTACCTGTTGTTGAAAGCTCGATTTAGAGAGGAGGCGAGGAAGAGGCATGGGGCAGCCCGGGCTGGGGTCGACGACGGCCGAATGCTCAGCGCGTTAGCCGAGTGCGTTCAGATCAGAACTCACTTGAGAACTTCGGGATGGCCGTAGAGAATTGATAAATGCAAGGGACTGGCTCCGTTCACGTCTCTGCTCAGAGCGAACCTTTTCCTAGTCAGAAGCTCTTTCACTTCTTTCACGTCTCCTTTGATCACGGCTTGGTGGACTTGCCGGATCTTCTCCTGCAATTCAAGAGGAATATCAATCAAGCTCTTCGAGTTTAGAGGGGGCTTCTCATTCCAACGGAGAAGATATCGTCCCGATTCGATCTCATCGACCGATAAAGATTTCAGTGTAACTCACCATATAGGTCGGAACGAGACTGAGGAACTCTTGCACCTGAGGATTGGGCGACGTCTTACCGACGAGTCGATCGCCCTGACCCGCGATAACCACGTGTTCTAGACGCAACAAGTCTTCTTCTTTGATCCAATAGTCAATGAGTTCATTCAGGCGATCTGCAAAGTACACCGCTTTTAGACTTTCCACAACCACCACCAGAGAGAAGAAAACATAAACTTCCTGCAAGCGCAGAGTTTATGCTCCGTGACGTGGTTAGAAAAACGCCGAAGTTTGTGATCCGACTGCAGTGACAAGAACCTCGGGCAGTGACAGAAACTCTACGGCACGGGTACTGCACGAGGAACAGAAATTCACAGATCGAGGGTTCCTATGGCTCGCGAGCTTCCTCGTGGAGCGGCAGACCTCCCGGTCGGGGTGCTAGATCCAGACAGAGTCGTCCGAGCGCCGAGAGCGGCGCCCGACGTGAAATGGGCCATGTCTCAAGAGAGAGTGGGGTGTGGTGATTGTGCGGAGGCCCATTATAGCGCTCACTGAACGTGACTACGAAATCGCTGCGACCGACGCCGCGGGTGCGACAGAGTCAAGGCTGTCCGTAGGGCATCGGCGGGCGTACGACGAGTCCGAGCCCTCGTCGTCGCCGTCGCTGTGTGCCGCGATCGACGTAGGGCGGTGGAGAGCAATCGGTAGCGCTCAGCGATCAAATCGGAACGAATCGGCGAAACTGTTTCGCATTGCTTCCCGATTGCCTCAAATGCCTGATTGGAATGCGCAAACCGTACAGGGACGGATCGGGGGCTGGAAATTCCCGAGTGCATCGTGTGACCCTGAAATGCGTGTGCGCGTACACTCGGTGATCGATCCAATCAAGATAATCCAGGAAACCAGTGGGGTGCGTCGCCGTGGAAAGTCCAGGTCTCCGTGATCCCTCCGGGAGGACTCACCCATCGCCGCCTTCATACGAGCGGCTTGCTTTCGCTTCTTGCTCCTGCTCCGAGCTCTAGTCGCCTTTTCATCGACCGGGGTTTTCGTAGCGTCCAGAGCAGCGTTCTCTGGAAAAGCTTCGCCAGCGACCCGGGCCCCGTGCTCATTCTCACCAGACGCTTCGAAAGTCTCCCCTCCCTTATCCGGACCGGAATCAGGATCTCCTTGCCCATTTTCGCGGATCGCATTCTTCGCCACGGTTTCTTCTTCCGACTCAGACGTGGCAATCGCTGCAGTCTGAATCGGCTCAGGGGGATTCGGGGAGCCGCTATCCCCTTGACTCTCCGGCTGCCCATTACTGCCGTCACCGCCGTCATCTAGGGATATTCCGACTGCTTGCTCCCCTTCCGCCCCCGTTCCCTCGACGAGTGAAGCGTCTTCTTCGGCGTCTTCCGACTTGCCCGCGTCCTTCTCCTCCGCCGCCAGAGCGACAGGAGGCGTGACGTCATCTTCCGAGGGCACTTCGGGGTCAAGCGACTGTGGCACTCCAATGTAAGCGCTCTCGGGAGCTTCAGCGGCATCCTCTCGACAATGTGCTTCCGTTGTTTCATCGTGAGCCGCTTCCTCCGGCTGAATTTCATCGCGCTGCTCCCCGAGCCCTCCTGCGACCTCCTCGTCGACATCGACGACCTCTGTATGGTCATTCGGTCCAATTTCTTTGCCGGATTCTTCCTCGCTGATATCGCGACAATCTGGTCCATCTACAACGGTTTCGGTTCCTGATGCGATCCTTTGCCCCGCGTGGTCGTCCCCATCCTCCGCGGTCTTTTCGGGATGTTCGCTGTAGTCTATCGCATCTTGTCCAGACCCCGTTGGGCCTTCCAGATTGTCGCTTCTCGCGAGATTTTCGTCGTCGGGTGCGTCCGAAGTGGACATTTCAGAGTCCGGTTCTTTCGGAAGCTGCTCCCGGTTCTCTGTGGTCAGGGGTGCGAGTCCTGGACTTCCGATATCGTCGACAGAATCTTCCTCCCCTCCGGCGGTCTCTCCGATCGTCCCCGAGGCCTCCGGATCCCCATGCGGATCCTTGTCCTCTCCTTGGGCCGTATCGACTACCTCGCTCGAAGTGGACTTCTCCGAGTTCTCCGAAGAGTTTTTCGAATGTTCGTTCGTGGTGTCGATTTCGTCAGTTTCCGCTTCGGACCCAGTCCGGTCGGAGTTTTTACTGTTGTCCAGTTCTCCAGCAGGCGCTTCGTGATTCTCCCCATCTGTAATTCACGTCCCATAAGATAACGTCTGGTCTGACCCAAATAACGTGAAATTATCGCTACAGATTGAATCTAGCCCACGGCTACCAGTGCATCACGATGCGCTCCTATGGGTGGCGTTGATCCCCGCGAAGAAATCCACTAATCGCAAAGAACTCCTGAACGACGTAGATCCTCTATCCCAGACGACGACATGCCCCGAGTCTAGAGTCATGCCGTCATGCCAACGGCACTCACCCTCGTCTCTCGGCTCTGCATACCCAAGCGGAGATGCGGATTCGGGTATGGTTGAGAGGGATCGTTCGAAATTCTCCGTAGAGTCTTGTTCCGCAGCGAGCGAGTTCTGCGGCGTCAGAGGGGGTCGACCCGGCTCAGCGCCGTCTTCCTCGGAATTCGTCTGCCGCTCCGCCAGGATTCCCCTGATCCATTCCCTCATTCCTCCAGTGCCACCCCTGTTCTGCTTGTCCCCCGAGGTCGCTTCTGCCCCCTCATCGGTTTCTTCTCCATCTATCGCTTCATTCCCCTCACTCCGATCTTCGGAGGATAATTCTCCTTCGATGTTGGGTTTTTCCGCATCCGAATCTCCTCCAGGATCTCGAGTGTCGACAATCAGATCCTTTTCGACTACCGATGATAACTCCACTGATCCCTCCTCTTCGTCATCTTCTGAATTCCTTCTTTTCCCTTCGAGCGCTTCGGCGTCCGGATCCACGTCGACGATTCCCTCTGGTCTCTCTGAATCCGTCGCGAAGTCGACGGTATCGACGTCGTCTCCGTCTGCACTCGAAGCCGGTGCTCGGGAAGATGCTTCCTCGTCCCGACTACCATCGTCTACTTCGTCTTCGGACCCATCTCCGGACTCCTTCCCCTCCGAGGACGCCTCACGGCCTTCGTCCGCTCCGAGATTCTCCCCCGCGTTTCGAGTCTCTAGAAAGCTCCGCGCCGTTTCCTCGATGAGCTCTTGCGCACTGACCCGCGCGAAATCTTCTATAGCTTCGGAGCGTTCTTCGCTGGAGGTTTTTTCTCTCCCGCTTTGAATTCCGGAATCAATCTCCTCTTCACGAGCTCCGTCTTTGTCGGCTCCGTTCTCTGTGCGCCCAAAACGTGTTAAACCCCTCGAAAGCCGGCGGGAATTCCTTCGTCTGCGAAGCCTTTCGGCCTTTCTTTCATTTCATTGTGTATGCCTCCACTATGTCGAATACTCACGGTGATCGTCCTGATCGCTTACAACACTCGATTCACTGTTGGTTCGAGTCCGGGCGTCGCGTCCTACCCGATTCACATCGGGCATCGATTTGCGGGAGAATGCACTGCCTAGAGCCGGGAGAGGAGCAGCTCCCATCCGTCGAGAATGGTCGTCGTAGAAACGACCTGGATTCGTGGCGAGATTCTTCGCTGCTCCCGCACTCCTCATGTAATATTCTGCTGTTCGCCCCCTCTGGAAAAGCGGTATCAATGGCTACGACATTCCGTCATATTTCTGAATATTCCGGTCGATCGGGACGGCGTCGAGTTTTTACAAAATTCCTCATCGTCCAAGCCTTATAATAGATTATTATTCCGGTCATCCTTGAGCTCAGCCGCATAGCAATATCGATTCTAAAGGGATGAAAGCTCACAGCGTCGAGGGCTCTGACGTCGGCCCCGTAGTTGACGAGTAGGCGGTAAATTTCGGCGTCTTTCTGTAGAGCAGCAAGATGCAGAGGCTGGCGACCATTCTGGAAATCGAACGCCAATCAATACCTTATAGATTCTGTCGTGTGTTGCTCAGAATTCAACGTTGAAATCGGTCTCACGGTTCGTCCAATCAAACAAAGACGACTGAGGTCACTGAACAAAACCCGAGAGTCTTTTGTTCGGCGCGGCGTCGTTGCGAGCACGAGCACGCGCGACGATGATCAACTCACCAGAGTTTTGGCGGTTAAGTATTGAGGATAGTTGTTGGCGATATATTCGACAACGTTAGCTTGTCGATTGACTACGGCGATGTGGATTGCCTGGTAGCCATTCTCGTCTCGAGCTCGCAAGAGGGCATCGTCCCGATTGGACGAAATGATGACCGTTTCGAGATCACCGGTCTCGACTGCTCTATGCACGTTCTCTATGCTGATGATCTGGGTCGGGACTTGCCTGGAGAAAGAGACCCCGTTCGGAATAATCCTTCCCATACGAAAGGAACGGATTCTTGGGCAAGGAAGCGATGTTCATTCAGGAAAGCGAGGAGTTACCCAGACAGCCCCGCACTCACCGCAAGTAATGGCGCAGTTCCTCGTTCCAACTCGTCCTTCCGATCAAGTGCCTTCCGTAGCCTTCCATCACGAGTTCTTGGGCTAACGGAACGCTTCCTTTCTGAAGAGCCGTGGTTATGCGCTCAGAAATCTGATTGGCGAGAATGGCTGTCGGGAAAAAACACAATCAGAGTAAACGAGCAGCATTGGGATGCGAGAAGAGCTCGGGGTCGTTTTTTTACCTTCTCTCTTATTATCTCTATTATTATTGTATTAGCGCAAACATTCCACTGTGATAACGAGCGCGACCAGGGATGTAATTAGGCGCGGAACTCGGCACCGAATCATAAATACATACAATCGGCGTCCTTGAGAGCTTAGCTCGTCTGTGGTGCGTGACAAAAATTACGGAAATGACAGCTTCAGCTTTTCTTTTCAAGGACAGGTCGCGTGACGTTCAGTTCTGCAGACGCACTCCACAACTCGAAGGACGGTTGTAGGCATATACGATTGCGAGAACTCCGCCGAGTAAAAGCAAATATGGTACATGTACCGGCGGTCTACTCCAAATGGGGACATTGCCCTCTTCACCGATTCTCGGCAGAAAGAGGTCATCGACGAATGCACTTACACTGACTCCTGAAGCCATTTCTCATCGGCGGTTCCGATTTACTTCGGAGCTTCCGCCGCGATCCTAGCAGAGCAGCCTCTGTCGGAATTGGTAGATGATGCGTCTTGTAGTATTCCGCTGCGCGCCCTCGCTGTAATCAAACATGAATCACCGTATATCCTCGGTGGTAGGAGAATATTTCATTCTCCCCCTCCTGCGGAGCAGTTCTGTGCCCATATCCACCAAAAGTTCCTGCCCGTAAAGGAAGGCGCGACCAACAAGAATTTAAGACGCTCGAAGACGGTCCAAAGCTGAGATGCTTACGTTGTCCTTTATTCTGGCATCTGCACCATTTTGTACCAAGTATCTGAATGTTCCATTCTTGCCTGTCCGTCGAGCTATGGCGGCAGCGAAATGGAGAGCCGTACGACCTTCCTGCGGACGGATTCAAATGCTCATGTTTCTTGTCCATGGTTAATAACTCTCATCCTGGCCATGAAATCGTATCTTGAAACCAAAGAACTTCGGAAAACGAGGAGCTCGACTGTCGCATTCGGGAATTTTCAGTGAAGGATGGAGTGTCAGAGAAACTGTTCGAGATTCGTCGGAGCTCTCATCCAGCGAGGCGAGAGGCTGGTCGAGACGGAAATACTCGGCTCGTCGAACGAATCTTGGGGCTTGATCTCCTAATGGAGTCGAATCGATAGCTCTAATTCTTCTGGGTTACGAATAGGATCAGCAATTGTACTCACTCTGTCGCGGGCGTTGATAGTTTCCGGGAATCTGTTCACCAGGAACTTCACTGACGCCACGTTATTAAGAATCACCGCTCGATGCAATGGAGTCATTCCAAAATGGTCCCGCGCCAGGGCGAAATCTTGAGATTCTAGATGGCTTTCCAGCTCGGGAACGTTGCCTGTTTTCAGAATCGGAATTCCCAGATCGGAGCGGCGGAGAATCTCGTCATACTGTGCTTTCTGTGAGCTTTAAGGCTTCCCGTCCCGAAGCTCGGTCGGAGCGCCCGACTTTCGTGAAGCGTTGCCACTCTCAGTCAGCGGTGCGGGGGTTTTTCGTGATTTTTATTTTTTTGTGCAGCAGTTCTTCAGGTGAATTCGCGCAGTTCCGGTAACATTTTAAAAAATCGACGACGTATCCAAAAGAACAAGCCATACCTTCTTGCAGAGCTCGGTGTATCGCTTCAAACTTCTTCATGAGGTTAGGAACGTCGTGCCTCAAGTACGCTTGGATGACCTCATCTCTGGGGTGTTCTCTGGCCACCTGATCTGCGATACCGCTCATCACAGCCTCATGAAGCTTTTCAACATTTTGATCCTCAATCCACTCGCGAAGCTTTTCAGCGGTTACCAACTCGCCTGGAGCAAGCCAAGCGAAACAGCTGAATTTTAGCCGATTAGCTTTTCGTCGCTCGGTTTCTCACCCCGGCTCGAGGGACAGGTCCAGAGGGAACGCTAGATAACGAGTTCGCGGGGATTCATCCGGGATAGAACATCAACCGACCACTGATTTTCGCTGGACCGGCCAAAGCGTAAACAATTTATGAAAAACACTTCCAGTTCACAAGCAATGCGCGGCTTGGGGTTTTAAATCTTCCAATCGGTAGAGATAATCCTAGGGATTCCCATGCTCCACCTCCGACAACTCCGGGGAAGAATCGGCGTCGCTGTCTCCCTCCGCTGTTGGACCACGGGGACATAGCCGGAGCGGAGGTCCAGAATCGAAGGCGCCCGGCCACAAGCTTTGAAACCAAACGAAGCGAACTCGTGACACTCACCTTGAATCTCGACAGGTGGGAGGCGTCCTCGTGAATAGCGTCTATAAGACGGAGGCGGCACCATGGCTCTAAGATAGCTTAGATGGAAGTTGTTGTTGCCGTCTTCGTAGAGGGGACTCGGCGGTGAAAGCGGAGACGCTTCCGAACTATCCGAGCCCTCCAAAGATCGTTCGTAGTTTAGAAGATTCGAAGTAAATAGCAGACGGTCATGAAGAGCGCTCTGGGTTTCTGGGGAAGATGAACGTACGACGTCAGGTTACGTCGGAGTTCCGAGTCTGAGTACTCCGCCGTCGATCTGCATGCTCTACGGGAAGGGCACTTCGAGGACCACAACAGATCAATATCGGCCAGCCAGTTCCAGTCGGCGAGCCAACTGCAACGACCGGCCGAGCGACCGCGGCGACGCCATTCACTGGGTGCGCTATGGAGTCATTGCGTTCACCGGCACTAAGAGCATGAAAGCCGCGATGAGCTTTTAGCGAGGATTGAGGGAATAAAGAAAGTATTGAGAGAATTCCGCGTGAGTGTCGAGGTCCGTCGAGAGCGGCTGAGGTCAACAGAGAGAATAATCGATTCCCGCCGCCTCCGCAATCTGAACGGCTAGCACACCGAAGCATGACGATGAGATTAGCGGACAACAAGGAGTACTCACTTGTTACGTTAGGTGAGAGGAACTTCAATTTCGGAATTGTATTTCCTAGGTAGGTTGCGTTTGCGAGCTGATTCTTCTTGACCGTTTGCTCGATTGCCAGCAACTCGGGATGGCTCAGGTACTGTTCCGGTGTTTTCCCCTTCTGAGAAGAATAATTGAGACCATCGAGAGGAATAATTATTATTCATCACGTAGGGTTCGTGGTCTTGGAGTGTTTCCGCCCCGTGAGGAATGATCCTCACTCGTTTTGCCCCAAGCGAACAAACGAACTGACTCGGGTCGAGTCGAGTTCCGTCTTGGCGCAGGTGAGCACGCCTGCACGCAAGCGCTTGCCGGGTCCCGAGCTAGTCGACTCACTCAATCAGAGCCAGGAATAATCTCCTAAGGATCGATTGAGAGTCGCTTAGTAGAACGACTGACGGTTTTACGTAGATTTCGAATCGCACCAAGACGACACGTCGGAGTTACTGATGTCCATCCTGCGCCTCATGCTCTCCTCATCCTAGACATGGTGTCCTCTTACTGAGCAAAGTTCGGCGTCGAACTTCGAGAGAAAATATGAGAGAATTGTTCTCGTACACGACATGGCCATCAAGCGAGTCCTTCGCTCGAAACGTCTCTCTACCCTAACGTGGGCACGGGGCAGCAGAGCAATCGATTGACTTCAAGGTTAAAAGATCATTAGCGCTAATAGAAAGGATGAGAATGTAAACACTCCTCGGAAGTCCCAGACTTGAGCCATCTAGTACAACTTCCGGAGAGACGAAACTCCGCCTTTTCGGTCTCGTGCACCCACATTTATGACATATCATGGTTATCGAAGTTTTTGTCAACGCTGAGAGTCGGTCCAACGTGCTTCACCTGTGACCGATAGGTACTGATCGAATTCGAAGGATCTCTATCGGAACGTTGCTCGTATTCGTTTTGGTAATTCGAGACTTCTTGGACAGCTGAATGAGGGCTCGGTCGATTAGCTTGTCGGAGGAGACGTACATATTTCCGACAAATCGATACGATGCCCGCGGAAAGCCGGATGGCCCTCGATCGTATGATTTAGGAAGCCGCCACGGGATTTTAAGCCCTGTCGACAGCTAAGTTGCGTCAATGAGCGACGCGCGACGGCCCCTCCATTGAGGGCTTCCGTCGGTTTTCTAAGTTTATATCCAGTCCACCAGTCCTGCTGAGAACTCACCATGTCTATCACGTTCGTCGGGGCTCCAGCGAATATCAAGCAATCGTAGACCTTCTGGCCGTCGCGGAGTCCGGCAGCTAAATGTAGCGACGTCCTTCCCTCGAGATCCTTCGCCGCCATGCTTTGAGGGAAGTTCACAGATAAATGTTCAACTATGTCGAAGTGACCATATAAGACGGCCTTGTGCAAGGGCGTGAAGCCCATGGTGTCCCTCGCGAGGGACAATGACTTGTGGCTGATCAAGGTCTGGACCTCTCTCAAGCGGCCTCGAACGACAGCTCGATGGACGTCGCTGATCTGTTCCTGTAATTCGAAAATCAATCTCAGCCCCATCTACTGTCCACCCTGGGAGAACAAGCTTCTTCGAGAGGGAATCGTCCTCAAGTTTGAGTTGCAGGCGCGTATCCGCTCACCATGTATCCGGGAACGGTGTCGAGGAACTCCTGAACGACGGCATCAGACGACGTTTCTCCAAGGAGTTTATCACCGTGACCATGGAGAACCATTTCTTCTAAAAGTTCGAGATTTCCTTGCTGGATCATCTCTCGAACTTGGCTCCGACTTCCGGCACGTTCTGGGAATTAATGAGAGAGCGATTAGGCCACTCAGAAGACAGCTGGCACTGCGAGTCGAACGATGCGTGACCTTGGAAAACGCGCTCTGGTTCAGAACAGGCGACAAGTGATCAGAGCAGCCGATGGAGAATACTCCATGATATGCAGCTCTAGCAGCCGCGGGACGGTGACGGATCGTCTTGGCGAAGGCACTCGGAACGAAGAACAGAACGCGTACCGATTTGCGTATCATGGATCTGAGAGGAATCTTCGCCTCTTGAATCATGCACGAGGTCTGAGGGAATTAAACGAGAGCATGCGCGGCGTAATAACGGACCGAGCAGGATGGGAAGACTTACTGGCTGAGGAACTCCTATTCTTCACTAGGCTGTCACGATGCTTCGCTCGGTTCTCGTGATTTCTATGGTGACTCTCACGATAGCGAGCCGACCGTCTCACACCATCGCGGAGTTGGTCTACGCTAAGCTCGTCCGATTCGAGGTAGTATGTCGGCGTGTGACCATACTGAAAACGATGCAAATCGTGCATGAAAATCTCTGAAGCTGAAAATCGAGTCTCGAGAAACCAAGTGCCGATGTTGCTCATCGCTCCCCAGCTCCGCAGCTTCCCATTTTCCTTCCCGATCGGCTTCATGTAGATTACCCGTCCGAGTTGTTCTTTAATCTCGTCACGAGTTGAAGAGGTCTCCTAGGAGGAAAGGTTCCTGACAGAGGCAAAGGCCTAATCGGACGTTGAGTCAACGAGCGGATGCGGTTTTGCATGTAGAATTAGCTAGCCAGGATCACGCCTCTTTCCGATCGGGGTCAACGCGTTGTCGTCAATCACCACGCATGGGTGACTCATCTGCATCCAGCGTGACAATCGCTGAACGCCGTTATCGCTCGAGCCATTCAAGTCGACACCGATTTTCGCCGTCTGCCATCCGCTTATACGTAAACGGTTCGTATGAATGTAACTCGAGAGACGATTGCACGGACATGCCAGACCTGCTCCGACTTCCGTTGCAGCTAAATATAGCACCCTCAGCCGACCCCACAGAAATCAGCGTTGAGCGGGTCATAGGCATCGTGGATACAAACCGGGTCCGGAGCGCAATGTATAAAATATCCCACGCTTCAAATCACTCCATATGTATGTTCGATGGCCAACTCGATTACTATCCAGCACAGTTCCCCCATCTCGAAATCATGAGCCAAGGGTCTGAGTCCTCTGACATTTCCGAAAGTTTGAGGAAGTATCAAGTCCGGGGTCTCGGTAGAAACACTGAGGTACTTACGACATCTGTGGCGTTTTCGTCTGCTCCATGATCCAGAAGAGCATTGTAGATATCGGCATCATCTTCCAGCACGGCCGCATAATGTAGGGGAGTGCGTCCTTGCTGTGAATGTAGTAGGAAGAAAATCAGTTTTTTATCGGGTCGGTGAAACTGCTCCGGGGGATCCCCTCACGTAATGTCGCTCTCGTGGAATGAAAAAATCATTCGCAATTTCGAGAGAGGCGATAATAATGAATGTGGGTTCTGAAACGCCGTGTGACCGGCGGCGACCTACTCACGTGGTCTCGTGCATGGAGCGTACTGGGGAAGTGTTCGAGGAAGAAGCCGATTACGTTGCTCTGATTGTACAAAACGGCCTTGTGTAGAGGAGTTGCCCCTTGTGGGTCACGGCAGTACGCAAACTTCTTGTGGTCGATCAAACCTCTCACAATGTCGAGTTTTCCCTGCGCGACGCTTTCATGGATTTCTTCAATCCGTGCCTGGACTATCGGAACGTGCCGCAGAAATCGTGAAACTTGGGGAATTCTGCAAAATCCAATCGCACGAAGATGGTAACAGGGAGGAGGAAATCAGTTTGGCTTAGATTAATATCAGACGGCCAGGTGTCAGATATCGCCAGGACTCTTCGAGGAAATTCAGATTGCAAGCCGGCTACCAGTGATCTGGCTATCATGATGTCGTCCATCAATCGAGATGAGCAGCTCGAAGTAACGATGCGCTCGATTTGCGCAAAACTAATATCTCAATGATCACGGAGGAAATCTTTCGACGATCATGGAATTTTAATCCGATCTCCCCGGTCCCGTGATCACCGAGCTCTGCATATAACGTTAACGTGAATTATGCAGGACCGCTGGCGAAGAGTCCAAATATTGATCGCAACCTAAATCAACGTTTGAGTCGACTGACCGCGTGCTGGTCAAAGCGGCTTTTCGTGGTCGGCCTCATTTGATTCGGATTCCTTCATAATTATGCAGTCGTGAGTTGCAAAGATTTATCATGCGGCCTCGCGCACGGCGTGAGTTCACGGCTGTCATATTCTTACGGAAATCCAGCCGCGGTGGCGAGCAGAATCGTCACGTCGGCGCCGTCTGTTCTCAAATTATGCAGAGTTGGGCTCGCGGTTTAGAATCCGGGTTGAGCTTGACTCAGGGGAGTAATTTGCGTCGGCGACATAACTTGAAGGCCGGGTTGCCCATTTCCGCCGGGAGCGATGCGGCCAGCCGGAGGCTGCGACCTTCGTCTAATGCTTCTCCCAACCCCGTTCGAGGCCGAATAACGGCGCGGCGGTATGCGGCGTCTCCTGAGTGTACCACGGGGCAACGATCTCCGAGGCGTCCCGTCCGTTGAGCCCACCGAGGCGTCAAAATCGTACAATGTGTGAATTCATTCGTTCCGAAGGATGGACATTCGGGAGTCGAGTTCTATTACGTTTCCATTAGCGGCCGCCGAAACTCCGCCGTCAAATGGCGAAACGTCAAACACTGGAGCCGTATCGCTGCTCACGGAGGCCGTGAACTTCGAGCAACAAGTCAGGATACGATCAAGTCTCACGAAACTCCCCGAAAACACGGAGGCTCGACCTTCGCGGGATTTCCCCCTTGTGTCCGCACAGTCTCCTTCAGTTTTTAGATGAATCATTCGAAGTTCGTCTGGTCGGGCCCCTGCCGCTCCAATGAAGCCAGACACGAACGGGAAAATAGGGCCTGGGGAGATGTCGGCACGCAACCAGACGTGTGCTCCCTTGGGGCACTGAGGGTTCGGTGGCCTCGACCCGGATCCCGACCCCAATTCGAAACTCATTGTGAACCTGTAGCGATCTCGTGGATCCCGACGCGAAGATCGAGCCTCCGGTGTATCCTAATCGAAGGCGATATTATAGATATAAGGCAATTCACGGCATGTTCCGCGAGGAGCTACCGAGATTATTCTCCCCTCGTCTGCCCATCGGGACGTAGGATCTCCTTCCGGACGAATGAACAATGCCCACGTAATCTGAGCGTTTCGGCTACCTTCGAGAGCAGCGTTCTGGTCCGAGTTTTAACTTCTCGACGTCTATCTGCCGAACGGGAAGCTACGGTCTACATAGCGTCGGACGGAGTTGACACGATCGCGGATGGGAAATCCGGCCCCGCGAAGACGACGGTCTCTGCGATGAATGATCATATATCTCCTAAGCCAGAAGGCTAACCCCACAGTGGCCGATTATCCCGAACACCGAACGATGACGAATCGGCTCCGCGCCACGCAACTTGTAATTAAAAGCTCCGTGCCCACAGCGTGCTGGAGCGCTGTACTCAGTGTGAACTGGGTCATGAGGTCAGAGAAGGAATCGCCGGCTGCCAGCTTCCGGGTGACGCCAGAAGTGTTCAACTTTTTGTGCATGTACATACGCTCGTACCTGCCCTCCATCATCTCCTCGTATGTAGTTTCAAGGTTCAACGAAGAACAGTGGTCTCGGTTGAAGGTTTGCTGCTCGGAAGTCAATCAACTTCGGAGTTCTCCGATCGATGTCACATGAGACCAATGCCATTCAGGAGAATGCGAACGCAATGGGAGAGTCCACGTACTCGTCGAGCGGAGCCGGCCCCCCGGATATCTTTGCAAGCCTTAGAATGGGGAGGAACGGAAGGTCCTGCAAGCAAAGGCAAGGCAGAGCCTGCAATCTCGGACGCGGAGCAATGTTTGCCTTTTGCAACACACGGTCGGCGAGAACATCGCCTGCGCAAGAGCCCGTGGGGACTCGAACATCGCGAATCCCTCGGTTGTGACACGAGCTGATTACAAACGTGAGGCATTCATTGCGCGATGAGGCGGTTCTGTCCATTCTCTCCGCCGAAGTTTCTCGAATTGAAGCCTGACCCCGACGACGGCTCGTATATCTTATCTCTGCTTACGATCAGCGACTTCGAGATCATCGCCGAGAAGATTCGTGCCGTCGCACTCAATCGTAGAACTGATAGACGTAGTGAGTTCGGACAGTTTCATGCATGACCAGTGAAGATCCATGAGTTTATCGGAGCGTATCACGACCGCCGCAACAATTTGATCGGTTGATTCGTCCGTTCCGTCAGACGAGCTAGCGCGCAGGCGTTAGGCCCGTCACATGCGGCGACATACAGCAACAGGGTTGGCGTATAGCAATCCAAAGAGAGAGAGAATGAAGATGTTTTGCTGCTGATTCAGTTTCACGAGTTATTGCACTCGATTGCCGGGTGTGTGAGCGACAGACTTGGGCACACCCGCGGCCCGCGGTCGAGATAATTTGTCGAGCCTTTTCGACGCGGCCTTTGGATTGAAAACGGCGGCATTATTTCGAATGACGGGTCTGGAGGAGAGCTCGACATCGAGATCGGAATCGACTCAAAGCACAGGATCCTAGGAGTTTTCGGGCGATTCGACACGCGTGGGCACCATCCCCGTAATCGTCCATGTTTCCGGACTTTCGAATCTATCGCGAACGCCAAGGCTCAAACAATGAGCTCGAGCATCCAAGTCGCACGCCTCCCGGTCGAGTCGGGTCTGATATCGTGCGAGGCCGATCAAAATCCTCGCGAAGTGTGACCCCGAAATTTCGAATTGGCCGACCCTGATCGCGGGGTCGACTTCTCCCGAAGGAATGGAGCGGCCTTCTGCAGGACTTTGTCATCAACTCGTCAGCGAGGACTGCCGCGTCGACAAATGAGTTCGGCCGTGTTCGAGCCGCGATCGGGAATCACATCACGAATATTGGATCTACACTCTCCAGAAGCCGAGATGAACGATGCTATGCAGTTTGGCGGAGAGCGGAGCCGCTATGAGCCGAAACAAAAACCTCTTCAATAGATCCGTGAATTTCGATTCTTAGCCGGTGCTTCTCGAGAGGAAACCCACCTGGAAGTCTTGCCGACAAGCTGCTCCCAGTATCCATCGAGAAGAGCCTGTTCCAGCTTGTCCAGGGCACCCAGTTTCAACCACAACGCTATGGGGTCTTCGGCCGCCGTCCCGAATCCGGAGCCGATCTGAGGCGGTGCGAGTTCCCTCATGGCCCGAACGGGAGGAAGGTCGGTAAAAGGACTGCGTACCAGATGAATCTGCAAATATGACTCGGGCTTACCGACTGGATCATAGCAACGATATATCGAGCACGTGGAAGCGTTTGAGCTAATTCGCCACACGTCGTATGTGGGGCCGATCAGTCTGTGTTGGATGCCCGAGGCAGAGGAGGCATTCGTCCCAGATAAATACATATACAGAGCTCGATCAAGGCTCCAATCTCGTCTCTGCGGAAGGTTCGCCCAGAGACCCCGGACTCAAACTGGATCACGAGAAGTGTAGCACGCGTTGAACACGAGCGGTTTCCGGTTCTCCAGCTGACCAAACTTCCAAGGGCCATGACGTTTACCACGAACGAAAAGAGAGAGAGTGGCTGAGGTAAACTGGCGGACATTCTCGCACAGAGAAGACAGACAACTCACTTTCTTGCAGGATTTTGAAGACTGGGTCTCGGATTTGGGGGGTCCTAAGTGTGAGGAGAGGGCTTTGTTCGAAGGGATAGGTATTTCGCGGCTAGAGGCCGGCGGCCGCGCTGTCGCAGGAGGTGCGGGCGGATTATTTTCGGGCGAAGACGGCTCGTCCGGTGGCCGAGAGCCGTCTCCGTTCGGGTTGTAGAAAGGACTCCTGCAAGGGAAACAAAGACAACCGCATGAAATACTGGGTGCTTTCTCCAAATCGACTCCGGAGCGGAACTCACATCCCAAGTCAAGCCTCAAGTGAATTTTTCCGATCTATTTTACGAGGCATTCTTCTCGAAGCTAAGATTCATGTCCTCGGGGCTTATTGTTAAGGACAGTATCTTATGTTGATCTCGCGGATCGGTGCCGTAGGCCGATGCCGAGATCTATAAGATGATCCGCAGCGCCCCCTGGCCTGTCCAAATGAGCGAAGGGTTTTGAGGGTTGCCGGTTGTCTTGCGTGACCACAATGTCACAGGACAGCTTCAGGCTCAATGACTTCCTCCGAAAACATGAGCATATTTGAAAAACAAGTGGGGTCCTTCGAAACGATGACACTGAATGGTCTTTATTCCGACGGAGTCGAGCGGTTTCGCTTTAGGGCATTGCTCTCGGAGTGGATTTTTTTTTCTGGGCGCGAGATTAATCGATCGATCTCTATGCAGACTGTCGTCTGCCCGGAGACTTCCCGACGATAGGCGTCACTGCAGCCACCCCGATCCATGTCGGCGCTGCCAGAACGAGGGACAGACCGGCGCTCCGGAGTCTATGCCGGAGCCAAAGATTTCCTGTGAACAGGAGAAGGATCGGTGCGAATCACCTGAACGATGGCGTCGTTAACACGTGTCAGTGTCGTCACCTGCGCAATGTACCAATTGCTCTGACTGACTTCGACAGTTGTAGAACTCCGAATCGTTGCCTCCCAAAACATTTGCCTCAATAGCAGCGGCTTCGAATGGATATGACTGACGCTCTTGAACGGCTTGGAATCGTTGTGGCCGGCACTGCTGACCGCGGTGACAGCAGACGGGCTCGACAGTGGCCGTATTGTGATGCCTTGCCGGATCGCACATCGTCGGGCTATCTGTTCACGTGATTCGTGCAATCTCACAACGCGTATCTCTCACGTAATTTTGTCGACGTAAACGGCAACAGTCAGGGATATCTTAACTTCATCACTCCGATTCTTATGTTCTCTTCAATATCATAGAGAATCATCCACTTGAGAAGATTTTGCGTCGTGGTCACAGCTGCCGTGCCGCGCGGCAAACAAAAGCGACCGCGAATGAAGGAGGTTGCGGGCAGCCGTAGGAGTTGGTTGACGTTTGACTCCGCTGCTTCTCTGAAAGTGGAAGCGAAATCGTGGGAGCCTCAGAGCGTCCTGAAGAAGCCCCCTTAGCGATTCAGAATCTTGTTCGGAGCGGTGACGGCCGATTCGCGCGCATGTCGTGCCGCCGGGTCCCAGAATCGCCTCTCAGAGCGAGCTGAGGATCCAGGACTCCAGCTGTACAGAGTGATCATATTCGAGCCTGTGGTCGTCACACTCTGTGGATTTCGAGTGCCTAGTGACAAAACTGCGGAATTTCGGCATAGCTCAGCGAGGACCTAGTTTCGATCCGAAAGAATCAATGAAGTCGACTGAAAATTGATTCGACGGAATATAAGGCCGCCGCTAACTTCGAATTGCATTAAAAGAGAGAAAAAACGCATTCTGAACGCTTCGCCGTAACTCCGCTTCGACAAAACCAAAACAAACGAAGGCCGCCCGTGGCTTGGAAATATCTCTCAATTCTTATGGTGTCGCCCCCTAACTAGAACATTATTCGGAGATAATTTTTTGGATCCGACCGGAATTGACGTTTCGACCACCTTTTCTAGAAATGGATCCAACGGCGGTCAGCACGCGGCGTCCTCCCGCACAGATCAAACGACCAAATTGCTGCCCGCAACCACAGAGTAGAAAGCAGCCGAAACACGAGGAATTTTCTTTCTAAAAATAGGTCTGAATTTCACTGAATCACCGGTGATGTCTTTTGTGACGCCTCCATCATCATGAACCGAAACATCGAAAACCGTGTACTATAGTGCTTCGAGAATCTCCCGCAGAACTTAATTATGACATAAGGCGAAGGTCGCATTCTAATCAGGACAACAATGGAAAAGATAAACTCTCGAAGATTTCTACGAAGAGACGGCTCTTATCTACCCTTCCGGTCTGTATTCGAAGCAGAAGGTCTCGTTAGGCTAATTCTGATCCTTTTCTCTGGAGGCAGAAGAAGCGCCAGATACGGACGTCGTGGTGGTGATGGTGGGACGCTGTGCTCACCAGCAGATGAGATATCGCCACAATTTAATTCACCACGACGCCTTACCACCTACGAGACTCGGTGAAAACCGGTCACTTTCGGTCGTTCCGATGTTTTCCAATGTTTAAGTTGCTCAGACAAAAATCTACGAGAGCTTGGATTTCTTAACGCGATCGGGGCTTGTTCTGAAAAATCGTCATCGAATTTCCAATCCGCTTGCCCGACCCACGCCGGCCACGGATTGATTGGACATTCGCGAGCATTCGAAGTAGAACGCTCGACGGGGCTGGCAAGAAACCTGATAGTGATGTTCGCGGGTACTGAGCCGATGGGGCGAGAAACTTGAAGTTCAGTCTCGGATTGGCGTACGAGTGCTTCTGAATCCAGGGTCGGACTCTCGGCCGCACCGTATGGGCGAATCAGATCCGGCGCGCGCTTGTCAAGCCGAGCAGAGGGCGTGCGTTATTTCCCAGGATGGACGCGACATCGAGGAGCGATACTTCACTTGATGTGCCCACGAGCGTCAACCGCACACCTTGATCGTTTTCCCTTACACGGCGCTTTCTGCCCGCTTTTTATCCGTTAATGAAATTTTTGTGCCGTTGATAAGTGCTATCGATAGAAAGTGCTTTTGAAATCTTGCCTTCAATCTTTCTGAAGTTTTTCTTGACTCCAGTTGGGAAGCGCGCTCGGGTTGCGCGACTGTCTGCATTGCAGGATACTGAGGGCTACCAGATGTACTGATACCGTGACCTACGTGCTACTTTTGATGAATCTGACGCGGAGGTAGTTCCAGAAGTACTCTCCCGATGTCCCCCGGGCTGGTAGAGAAGACCATACCGGTAACCAACCGCTGACAGAGTCTACTCGATGGAGATCTTGTCGGCGCCCTCGAAGATCTGCTGAGCGTCTAAATAGAGCGAAATCCGCCGAAAGCTAGAGCTATCTCTGCAGTCGTGAATTCCGTTATTACCCAAGAAATCGTCTTTCTATCGGCGGAGAGCCTGTCTGCTTAAGCAAATCCGGCGCCGTAGGGCGCAGCCGAACATTGTTTCCAACCCAGCGTCCGAGCTTGGAAAAGATCGCTCCACCGTTCTCCAGAGAGTTTCTTCTCTCCAAGCGCGAAAATCCGTTCCGTGAAATGGAAAAATGCGCTTGACATGGGGACATATACTTCATACTTCTAATGAGAGCTATGCAAATGGAGTACGGACGACCTTCGAATGTATTACGCGAATATATTCTGAATGGAGGAAATCTCCGGGCTTTTGTCTTCTTCCAGCAGCTCGTTTCAATGTCACCGCGCTTGATTGAAATTCGGGGCAAACTCCGAAGTTTCGTCTCACCCAGCGCGTCGGCGCTCTTTCTCGCGCCGAAGCGGGCGGCGGGGGAAAGCAGCGTATTTAAAGTCGACTGACCAACGGTCAGACACGAGACCATCTAGGAACACGATGCTCAAGGTATCTGTCTATGAGCGTTCAGAGCTCTTTCTCTCCAACTCAGGAGTCGTGAGATCATGACACCGAGTGCTCGTGCCATATTCTCAATGTTGTGATGTGGATCGGAACCTTGCAATCCTGTCGACGAGTCGACGGCAAAGCCTGACTTCCCGTCAGGGGTTTTCTACTCTCTCAGGATGCTCTCCGCGCAGTGGATTGACTTCGAACTTCTGTGCAGGATGCTCATACACGAATCGAGTGGCTTCGCTCAGATGTCGCCCCACGGAGGCGTCCGTCGACAGCCTTTCCCTACGTTTTCCTCAGTGATGTGTTTTCTAAGAGAACTTGTTTTCTTTGTTATTCCAGTTCCTTTTGCTCGCTTCATCTGCCGTTTCTATGGCCCTTGGGGGGCACATTGCTCTCTCGGGGGGCCATGAAGGGGGCTACAGCGACCGGTACGAGTTGGCTCAACAACAAGACACACACGGATCGCATGGGGAATACGCCGATGTCTATCCAGTTGAAACCTCCAACCATTACGAAAAGGAGATCTACGCTCCGCAACCGTACAAATTCGGATACGAAATTCTCGATGAGTACGGCAACAAACAATCTCGTCACGAGGTCTCTGACGAGCACAACGTGAAGAAGGGCTCCTATTCATTCACCGATGCCCACGGAATTTCCCGGCGAGTGGATTATGTAGCGGACGCTCACGGTTTCCGCGCCACGATCCACACCAATGAGCCCGGCACGGCACCCTCGAGCCCCGCGGGGGCACAGTACATATCTGATCAGAGCTCGGTGGCCTCCTATGGATATCACTGATGCCTGGGCTCTCGTCTAAGAGCCCTTCCCTCGAACAGAGAATGCCTGATCCGTGTGTTTGTGCCGTGTACGAAAAAAATATGTGAAAGATCATCGTGCCAATGTCACACCTCTGAATAAACTGTAAATAATTTCATTCTGTTAATGCGATGATGACCCATTTATTTGAGAAGGGCAACGACGACGGTTCAAGAGTCGCCGTATTTGGAGTTTCATGAGAGTCGCGCGAAATAAGAATAGTGCCGGCTGTCACGCCTCCTCATCGGAACTTGCAGCGGAGCTCGGCTTGCCGATCGCACCCATCAGAGTCTGACCCGTGGAGGGACAAGAAAACGCCAGTCGAGTAGCTGGTAGCTCTTGGAATCAAACGTCGAGAAGTCTCTGGAATCAATCAGCAGACAAGGGCGGGACTTTCATGATGTTCCGCGAGGCATGAATGACCTTTGCATGATATGCTTCTTAATTTGATCTGTATCGAGTTTTTCATTCTGCGTGATTGCGAAATGATGTCTCGGTAATTTTGGTCAAAAGCTCCGACAAAATGCTCCAAAATACAATCCGTGAAGCAATGGGCACTTGTGGTAGACGCCGCGAACGGCGTTGTTACAATTGACAAGCGACGAGCGATTCTTCGAACAGGATGCGAGCCACCGGCTCACCTGTCGTTTACGCAAAGTATCAACAAGAGCTACCGGACAGCGCGATGTGGGGTGAATTGGTTTACGACCAAACGGAGGAGCAAAAATATTATGTACAATATTATCTAACAGCTTCGTTCGAGGGCTTATAAAAAAAGCATGAGTCTGCAGAATATCGCCTTCGAATTAGAGCGTTCCAAATAATATTCTTCTTTGAGTTGGGATCTCATTTCGCGAATCAAATCCCATATGTCTAGCTTGTGCTTGTATCGAAAGAGCCCTAATATTATCCCAATCGCAATATGTATTATGCAAAAGAGAACCGCGACAAGAAATTACATCAGGCTCGTTTTCGTCGTCCGTATACGCAGAACCCTCCGAACACCTATATAGCAATTCGATATGCAACGAATCCGGGCCCTAATCTCACTATATCTCTGATGTACAAGCTAATAATTCTTTGCGAGAAAGCGTATGCAGCATATACAGATATAATGATAATCTGCGGCTGATGAGTTACGCGGCGGAGGGCGCCGGGCGGTGAACTCTCCAGCTCGTCATTGCTGTGGTTAGTAGAAGGGACTGTTCAGTCAAGATGATCTCGGCCCCAAGCCGCCCACCCCACTTTCGAGTTCCAGGGCACATCGGAAGACGACAGCGAACCGCTGAATAGCGCGCCTGTAGCAATCGCGATCAGCGCGAATATTGCCACAACCGATCGGAACAAGCATCGTATGGACGCGAGACTTTGATGGGTTACCGGCCACTTCTTTGAATGATGGCCAGTATCGAATGGTCGACAGGCGAAGAAAATCGCGTGGGAGATCCTTTGTCGCGGGCTCCAGTTTGGCAACGAACTTGGTTTGGGCTACTGGTCCAGTTACAGACGGGACCCTCCGGACGACGCCGAGGAAAGTATGTATGTCAATGAGAATCATTTGACTCGCGCTTGGAGCGACTGTGATCATTTCGCCATGGATTCAATTGCCATCGATAGTTTTCACGGTCGGCTGTGCCGATTAAAGCATGGCGGAGAGTCTCAGAGTTCGCGAAGGATGAAAAGGTAGAACCTCAGGGACCGTTGTGGAATCAATATTGTCATGCCAGGATTGGTTGCTTCTCGTCGTTTACGATCGGCCCTTCGAGCGTCGTCGTCGAGGCTCGCTCGGGGCCAGCTTGACCCGTGAGCTGCGCCCGTGTGAGCGTGCAGCCCAGCAACTCGCTGAGCAATTCAGGAGGATGGCATAATCGAGGTAATATCGCTCTCCCGTCCGACGGAGAACTCTCGCGTCAGCCGGTGAGTGGCTCGACAAGCACCGAATGAGGCTAACGACTCCCGAATATTTGACACGGTAACTTGTCAGCCGCCTCTTGGATCTAGACGGAGGATCATAAATAGGCTAATCAGACCATGATGCTGATCACACGACCCGTCTTCTTTGTTTCGCGGACAAGACCCAGGCTGCTGAGGGTGTCAGGATACGAACAGATTCTGACGCGTCCGATTTTTGTGGGCACTTGCTCCACATCAGTTGCCCTCCTGGACTGCGGATCCGCCCGAGAAAGCCTTCGGCTCTTCTGGTTGGCGCTGCGGATTGACATTATCGCGAAGACGATGTCGCAACAAAGATAATCAAAGGCGCTGATGGCATTACGCTTTTCTGCTTCGGGATAGAAACACGATCACTCGTACAAAAGCGATAGACACAGCTTCTGTGGAGAAACATTCATGCGGTCATCATGTTGTCCCGCCACCTTGTCGTTTGCTCGCACCTTTGCGAGGCAAACCTCCACCCTATGATCCATAGAATCGATGTTTACTTAGGCTTTCCGTCTTGAGTTCCCCTACCTGATAATTGTAATATATAACAACAGTTATACATAACATCATGATAATCATCGCTTCGACGCGTATTGCGCTAACCAGTGACTCGGATGGAATGCTTCCAAAGCGGATCCCAAGAGTTGGGGCAATCCCCAAGCAGCGATTCTGGGTCCTCATTTCTGATCTGGTGAAGCATATCCGGTAGGTACATACATAAATGAAAATTTATTACTGTTTCCTCCGGAAGTCGGCGGAAAGGGATCAGCACTGTCCTGCCTCAATCGACCGTATTCCGCCTAACCCACCTCCTCCGAGCCCCAGAAGCATTCCCGATCGACCTGGAGGGCCTACTGATTAGATTAGGCTAGGAAACTGATAAGATCGCAGCCCCAGCATGGGGAATTTCAATTGAACATGTAAGGTGGATTCTGCTCATCCACCAAATGCTCGAGCATGAAAAGCTCAAGATGGGCTGGTGATGACTCTATAGCATTTTTTCCTCGATCCAGAGGTCACGCTCACGGACCGGTGGGAAGTCGGTGATCTTATCATTCGAAAATGCGCTCATCAATCGCCTTGCGAGGGGACTTGCATTGTGGGGCAAGGTGGCGACCGAAGTTCGATCTATTATGACGTGCCTTCGGCGAGATGTGGAAATTTAGTTCCCGGCGAGGGCAGTATAAAGACAGAAGTCGAGCAATGGTAGCTCCGAACGAAGTGTTGTCCATTTTCGCGTAATGCTCTGGTTCAGGGTGCGTGGTTATTTCATGTATAATATCTGTGCGTATGTGTGTGGATTCCCCTGTTCTATTATCGCTGAATGTGATGATCTGTCCTGGGACCGACGGACCACCCGCCTGCCAGCCAGCTTGCATGTCCGTCCATACGTTCGAGAACCTCTAGGGGTTACGCTTTCATAGGACGGACGTGACGATCGACTCGGTGGTGGCCGATCCCTGGGCTCTGAAGCGTTGTCCGGAGGTCTTTTCGCGCCTCGAGGGGGCTTGTTGTTTCCGTCTGAGAAGAGGAGGATGTTTGGAGGAAATCATCGTATTTTCCGATTGTAGAAACAATCGATTCTCAAACCCTCACTGACCCCTTCATTGATTTTCAAGGTCGCACTCCTCTGCTATCTCTCGTATACCGAATCTGCTCCCTTGGAATCCCGTGTCGATCAAGCACAACTCGAACTCGGGGAGGAAGAAGTCCGGGAGGGAAACATCATCCCAGGCGAGGATGGTGCTCGGTTCACAGCTCAGAGCAATAGATTCGGATACAAAATCATCGATAAGTATGGGAATAAGCAGATTCGAGAGGAGGAAGCCGACGCGTATAACAACCGGAAAGGCTACTATTCGTTCATTGATCACAACGGGAAACATCGTAAGGTAGAGTATGTCGCCGACAGGCACGGATTCCATGCCACCATTAAAACAAACGAACCTGGGACCGCCCCCAGTCACCCGGCCGGGGCACAAACCATTGCTCACTCGCAAAACCAAGTTGCTCCTGAGAGCAATCGATGGAGCTTCATCGAAACGCCAACGAGGCCATCTCCTACGACGACACGACCCGTCGCCGAACCTCATTCCGTCTCCGAGGGCCACGACGGGATCTCGACTCACAGAGCATCGATAGCTCACATCGCTCATGCTGGAAAGACGATAGCTGTCACCATGCCGTTAGAGGTGATAACCCCGAGGCGGTCCGCTCCTGCGCTTGAACGGAAAAAGGACGTCGATATCCGACCCGTCAGCCTATTCGTGCCCGGTCATGCGAGTCTGAGATCTCATTCTGGGTCGGTATCTCACTATAGCTTCAAATGGTGACTTGAAAAATGACCGCTCAGGCACTTGCTCCCGAAGCAACCCGTTGTATTTATTCGAGCAAATGTTCAAAGCTTGTCGGACGTGCATATGAATCGTTGAATTCGATCCTCGACCATGTACATACTACAGGGGCGCGTACAAGATTCTCGTTAGGGGGGGGGAGGAAGGATAAATTCGAGTTTTGATGGGGACCAGACGACCAACATGATGTCGCGCCTTCCCGGGGTCGATACTTCAGCGTTTCGACCGAGAAAATTTCAGAGGGCGATGGCTCCCTTGCCCCCCCCCCGGGCGCGCCCCTGACATTTTATGATAGATACTGGCAGTGTTCAGAAAAATATTATGAGCCAGAGAATTGGATGGGTTTGTTTCAAATGAATCCATTGTGTGTAAAGAGGCTGCGAGGCACTCATGATTGAGCTCATGTCTGATCGTACTCTTCATCTCAATGGTGATTTCTGTATGATCCATAACTAGATCATTCGATCCCTGTGTCCCACTAAAGCTCTCAGGCTTCAACTTGGTGATCGATTCTGGTGAATGATGATTCACGTCTCCACCAGAAGAATTTTTCTTCGACAACGGGGAAATCAGAAACCTTTCGAATAAACGACATACGAGCCGAGAAATATTTCCATTGGGATAATTACATAATGATCTGAGGCACGCTCGCCCACTTCTCGTGGGACCGAGGAGAAGAGAATCTCCTTCTAGCCCGATCTTTTTTTCCGGAGCGCCCATCGGTGGATTCGGACAACGTAATGTCAAGACAGCATCGAATGACCTCATCTGCTTCGAGATGGCTCGAGAAGTGTCCATCAATCGTCCTGAGGTACTATACGCGATCCTCGCGTTGGGCAGGAGCGATTCGCGTAGTGCCGCAACATTGACCATACCCACCCGGGTCTAGTGAGGTGCGCAGGAATCCAGAAGGTTCGCCGGTGCACTCTAATTCTCAAGGCTCATGGAGCCCAACACTACGCCAAGAAGCCACTGACTGAGTCTCGACACATATGGAAGCGAACCACGACCTCGATTGATCCGTGCTCCTCAAAGTACGGATCGCATTTAAACGTTCCCGACCGGCGCTGCGATCGAGTTCATCTTCAGCAACTGGTCCCGGACCGCCGCGCCGTTCGCCTTGCTTCATTCAACCTAGACCTAATTATCTCCGAAATGATGATTTGGATTCGAGGTCAAATCAGACTCAATTCCAATCTAGATCACGTCGAGAAGTCAGGAGATCCGATGAAGATTTTCGTTCCCCATTTGGGATCACTTCTAAGGATCTCTAGGGCTAGTGGAGAAAATCCCGTGGGACTGATTTTCGCAGACAATGCCACATCGCACTAGTCAAGGCTCCCAACCCCTCACTGACTTATCGTCTTGAGAAAACAGTCGGACTCGTAGGCGCGGGGGTGATCGAGACCCTAGTTCAGTTTCGGAAGTCCGTTTGTCATAGAACCCTCAGGAAATTCTCGGAAACAATCGTGATCTCAACGTGAAGCGTTTCGGTGGAAGAATTTAGGATACCGGCGAGGAATATTTGCCGTATAGAGGGAGGGAATTTGACGATAACAATTACTCGGCTGCGGCTAGCTCGGCTCCTGATTGTGCCGTGCCGGCGAAATAACTAGGCCAAAGGCTGTGACTATGTGCCGAATATGACAGCGCTACAGCGAAAGGACTCCTGGGAATCCCTTTACAAGGTTTTTTATTTTAACACGCCTCCTATGACCCGCTTCCGAGAGGGGAGGCTGGCGCCAAATATATGGATTCGCGCAGGGCTATTGGTATCACGGACAATTCTATTCGCGATTCCCCTGCGGGAAGCACGATGATTCCCCGCGATACCGGGGGGAATGATATCGTGCATGATATCGCAGACAGCACCGTCACCCAAGAAAAATCATTTCCGACGAGAACGCCTCTAGAGTACAATTCTCCGAATATCCACGCAAATCGCGCATCTTGCATAAGACTCACCAGGTATAGTAGTAGCCGAAACCGGACTGGATCAAGAAGACGTAACTTTTGTAAATAGAATCCATCGGCCCCCCCTGAGAAAGGTGCTTCGGAGAGGAAGTTATGGCATCTTTCAACGCGTTGGGCGACACGACCGGCTGTGAAAGCATCACACCTCACACATCTGAGGACGATTTTCTCAGAGGAATAAATCGATACGGCTGGATTGACGATAGCTCCCGACGACGATGGGTGCAGCGGCGGAGCAGCTACAACGAGTGTTTCGGGCGCATGGGCCCGATGTTCGTGAAGTATCCTAAGGGCACGAGAACTCTATGACGAAATCTTCCGAGACGATGAACGAGACGAAGGAGGATTTATGGCAGTGATTGAGCTCGAGCTTGTCTTGTCAGATCACGTCATCGAAGGAGGCATTGTTCCAAAGCACGACCTGGTGTCGGCCATGCCAAGAAAACGGAGTTCAGTTCGAATGATCAGAGCGGCTGCCGGTGTGAACTAGTGAGAACGCTAGTCTCATCTGAGCGCTATGCTGAGCCAGCGGTGTATAGTACAGCGAAAGTGTACGTGATGCCCCCGCTACAGAGCAGCCTATTCTGAAACGGCCGGTCCCCCATCATCCACAACAAACACCACCAGCGTAGTGGCGACGATCTACTCTTTTCCGACGCCGCCGATCTCCTTCTGGCTCGTATATGATCCTAACCGATTCCCTGATGGACTGTCGCATATTTCAATGTTCCTCGTGCCCGAAGGCGGGAGCTCGAGGATTCCATACCCATTGCCTACGCGAGTCCTTTCTCAAGGAATCATCAGCTGCAGTTCGCTCGCAAGGAAAGATTCTTCTAGGTATCTAGGCCGGGACGCCTCCTCGGACACCACAGTCGATTCCCTTGTTCGTTTCCCTACGATCGGATTTCTACGGGATCCGGATCGCCTGAAAACTGTACAACAACTTGTCGGCACTATAGCGCAGGATTAAGCTCCGAAAACTAGCAGAACGCAGCTTTCATAGTGGACCCCCGGCCCCGATGGGTCGGTCGAGCGAGGGCTCCGTAGAGAGACAGGCGGAAATCGGGGAAGGGAGGATCCGGCTTCAAATGCGGGTTTCTCTCGATTCTTGAATTCGGAACACGATCCTCGCACTCCCTCAAGCGTCTTCGCGCCCATCTCGAGATGCACTCATGGTCCGCGCATCTTGCGAGTTCCAGCTCGGTCTCAGTCGTTTGCCCGTGTTCTCCGCTCGAGATCGTCTTGTTTCTTCGAAGAATCTTCCTCGATACGATTTCCAGGTGGAGTACTCCCTCCCTTGATTCACTACCGCATCATATGGGTAGCACCCCGTCACGACCGCAGCATCTTACCAAGTAAACCTGCTCTTCCACCGGGACAGGAGTTATGAATTCACGGTCATCAGCCGGACCCACGGCACCATAACTCACGGAGTTATCCGAATTGAGTGAGCGATTCGGACCCAGCTCAGTAACTTGAGGATTGAGGAGTGTTCGGCCAGCCTGCAATACAAGCTTGTTTACGGTTGAGGTTCCGAAATTGAGGTCAATACCCCTGACTGGGCACCGCTAGCGGCCGCGACGCGGTCCGCCGCGCGAATTACGGAGACCGTTGAAGGCTCTGGCGTTGTGATCCGCGATTCATTATATAAAAGTTTCGGCTCCCATTCCTCGGTGCCGCTGAAATTAATTTTCGATGATCCTCGACTCTCGACTTGCACAGCTAAATCGGGATGAAGCAGGTCTCGCCGAGGAAGACCTGTCTCGAATGGGAAAGACCTGTTTCGTAGGGGAATGAGCACGATTGGACATGCCGCTCAGGAAGATGATTTCGTAGGAATCATTTCCGAGCTGCGACCGATGCACTTAACCCTCCGCTCACACTCTACTGACTTCCCTACTCTGGATCCTCAGATCATACATGTCGGAGTATTGAAGGCCTTTCGAAGAGCAGCACTCGTCGCGTCCGCGATGTTTCAAATCTCCAAGCCCTCCCTGTACCTTGACTCAGAGGCTGTCTCAAGAGCTTGTCTCAGAGGGCAGGGCTTGTATTGGGGGAGAGGCAGTGGGAGGGCACTTCCACTTTTGAGGGAGACTCAATGACGGATCAATCGGGAACGGGCTGCTCTCGGGAAGGGTCTCTCATTAGAAGATAGAAAAACTCAGCTCTCTTCGGAGTAATCGGAATTGAGGGATATGCGGAGAACTGCTGAAAATCATTCTTGACCTGACCAAGACAGGAAATTACATGTGCGAATACAATGAGAGCGTTTGAGAGAAGGTCAGACAATTGGGTGGGAGAAGACGTGTAGATCGACGCTTTCGAGGAGGCGACCGCCTTCGGATTCATATACCATATATAGCGGAGGTTCCCCGAGTGCGAAGTACCTACTGTGTTCATCTGAGAGGCCCGCAAAAAGTGGCTCTATTATTTGGACCGCCAGTGTACACCGAGAGTCAACTTCTGGGAGGATCCATGAATGAGCCCTGAACCGGTTCGCGGAGATCTCCGGGGAGCTGTCGGAGGACTTCGTTTGCCCCTCCTGAGACTTTCTCCCTTCATCCATCGCTCATGCCGTTTTTTGCAGTGTCTGCTCCATCATATCTTTCACCTGAATGCGAGAGGGATCAACGTGCCGACTTCGCGCCCGGGGAGGAGTTCTTGACCGAGAGCTCGTGTCAGAACTAGAACCTATCCTGCAATGGAAAAAACCTGTCGGAATGCGCGGCCTGCAACCTTGACCTCACGCAGCTAAACAAATCCCAGTCTGTGAGGGCACGTACGCTGTCAATTCGTTTCGCTGATTCGAGACTATTTAGTGAATACATAAGCCCAGCTCGCCCAGAAACTTTGCTGAGGCCGCGGATCGCGTTTGAGGCCGGGAATGATCACCCTCCCTCATATACGTTTGCCAACTCCAACGAGGAGTATGAGAAGCAAGATTCGACGATCGGACAACCGTCTCAATGGCACGCATAAGGCTCAACTGGGAGACTCACATCCAGGAGCATACATTCGCGCAAGATTTCTTTCACGAACGACGACTGCGAGTCGACCTGCGAGGGGTTGCCGCTAGGAGCAAGAAACCCGCAAGGAAATCTCTTTTTTTTCTCCGTGCGACTTTAATACGGGCCCGTTCCCACTGCAGGCTCGTTAGAATTATCGCTTGAACTGAAAAAAAATTGAGCCTGAATGCTCTTCGACCGGAAGCGCCTCCCTTCCACCACAGGCAAACGACGTGGATCGACCGCGCCTGCCAGCGAGATGAGAAGTTAGATTCAAGCAGGGACCGTGGTCAGAGCCTGCCAGTACATGTAATTTATATCATAATACAACCAACTGTTTCAATTAACGGAGGAGCTCTGATCCTCAAATCCCGTCAATGCTAGCGATGCGGTAGTAGATTCAGGGGATGACCGACCCTTCCCCAGAATTCCATGGACAAAATAGGGCGATGTGGTTTATCGACTCATCGAGTGGAAGACCGGGACTCGAATTCGAATTATGGAATCAAACAGATTATCCTTCGTGAATGGGAAAGTTTAATCTGTTAATGCCGTGATAGTCTCTCCGATGTGATTGAATGCAAATGAATCCATCGGAACTTTCCCGAACGTTCCGCAAGATGCTTTCTCCTAAAGTTCGCTGTGGAAGCCGGAGCTTGAGAAGAGATCCCGCCGGATGCCAGTTCCGACGCAAAATGGTCACCGTTGAAAGAGGCTTGAGGATCCTGTCCTATGCCTACTTCGCGTACTTCATGGCGATTCAACCGTGGCTTTGTTGGTGGCTATGGGATTGGATATTTCTCAGACCTTTCATCGTGAGTCCGCGAAATTTCAGGAATGATTTTCCCGTAATGGACGCTCCTCAATCGTCTCGATCGTTCCCCAGCTCTACATCGCATCGCTGTACCCGATAATGTTCAACACCGGTGCTTTCGCCTTGTGCACGGCTGTTTACGTGTTTTTCGAGAAGAGCTTCGGGAATGAGTACAGGAAACTGTTTGCCCGTTCGATTCATTGGGCTTATCTCCTTCATGGAAAATTAGCGTTCGGTGAGCGTTCGGTGATTGGCATGAAAGCTTCTGGGCAGCATACATCAGATCCTTCAGTCGTTGAGAACTTGAAGTTTGAGTAAGCTCGTGGAGCTATTGCAGGCTACGAAGTTCATGGCGGTGAACGACTTCGGACGAAGAATGCTCTGATTGTTTACTACCACGGTGTGTTGCCCGTGGACGCGAGTCTCCTGCATTCTTATGCATACGTGAAATACAGGCGACATCTCAGTGGCATCGTGGATCGAAGTCTTTTCCAAATCCCTCTGATAGCCAGCGTGATGGATGTAAGTTCGCGCCAAATCACCATCCCCTCGCTCGTTGAGATCGGGATGACTGCATCAGCACGATCTTGCACTCGCTAATGACTTCTAGAGTCGATGAAAATTCTTTCAGTTCTTCGGTCAACATTGCTCTCCCGAGAGACTGACGCGCACCTTGAAGAGCGGAGGCATCGCATTCGTGGCGCCTGGTGGCGCCTATGAAGCTTTGATGAGCCAAGACGGCAAGTAAGTCAGGGGAAAATACTGGAAACTTCTAGGCACTGGAGTTGAATTCCACTAAGCGATGATTTTCAGACTAGAATGGCGCAATCGCTGCGGATTCGCGAGAATCGCTAAAAAGACTGGAGCTGCAGTCATCCCGATGTTCACTGTTAATATCCAGCATTTCATGACCCTCCATAAATTCGGGAACCAAGGTGCGCAGTACAACCGAAGGGTCCGGTTGCATTCAGGTTGTCTCTCGTATGCACACCCACGCTGAGAACTCTCCAATTCGAACCTGCGCAGGGAACGAGCTGCTCAAACGATGGTACCTCTTGTCGCGAGTACCCTTGGCGATACCAAAGCTTGTGCTGCCGGTGAAATTGCGTACTTACCTGGGGGAACCCATGTTTTGCGGAGAAAACGAAACGCCAGAGGCTTTTGCCGCGCGAGTAAGCTCCGATTATTTTACTTTTTTATACCCGAGTATTCTTAGGTCTCCCAGATGACGATTTAAGGGTCATTCGTTATTCCGTTTTTCAGGTCAGGTCTGCGATCGAGCTCTTACGAGACACTCACCAACGTCAACCCCCAAGCGTCCTCGCTGCCCTGCTCGAAAGGTGTGGTATTCGATGGTGATCCACGGGACGAGAGACTAGAGCTCAAAACTCTATGGGGAAAACGCTGAGATCCTGCTATGTCAAGCTGAGAGACCTGAACTCACAAGGAAAAGAACTCGATGGCCATCCAATGCGGCCGCAGGTCGATTTGTTGAAAATTTCTCCTCTCTCGGATCTCCCTCCACCCCATTCTGCTCATTCAGACTGCCTGTCACCCACATATCATCCTCATATGAGCTGGACTCGGATCTGATTATATACAAGAGAGAGATGTTTCCCCCGCGACAGCGGGAGTCGGAAAGATTTGCGTGAATGAATCGCGTTGAAGAACGTTACTCCTGATAGGCTCGGGTGACATCGTCTTTTTTTCTGCAAGGTTTCCCTTTCTGGCTTGATCGACTCTTCTGATGGAGAATTCTATCAAGGAAGGTGGTTTTCGGGACGCTGGGCGATGAGCATCAGGGAAAATGGAAGAACATTTTTTCTACGTAGGTCCTCTCTCGGTATTCACAGCTCGAATGACACGGAGAAGCTTGCGCTTCCACGGGAGACCCGTCCGCATTCAGGGACGGGACACGCTCTCGTCGCTCAGCGCAGGAATCGTTGCGAGGAATTCCGGAATAGAGTATAAATTCTAATGGAAAAATGCGGGAAGCTACAGTATCGAGCTGGATCATAAGCGGAATGTTAAAGACAATCCTTCTCCCCACAAGAAGTACTGATCAAGCACATATCCACCATCGAGTCGGAAGCGTACGAGGACGACGCGCGAAGTCGGTGAGGTCGAGGTCTGACAACGAGTGAGTCCATTTACCACGAAAGAAAGTGTCATGCTAGTCTCGATACACTGTACGCACTGAGAAGAGACCTGTGGTGTCTCCGTGGCTTTCGGGAAAGCATTCCGAGCGTCCGCGTCATTTCCGTAGCCGTCTCGAATATTCTTTTCTTGAGACCGTCGGACAGGGGTACGATGGAATGGCTTTCGAACACGCGAGATAATTTGATGAGAGGACCATCGCCGTGTCGGTCAGAACAGCGGAGGCTTCCGGCGAGCTGGTCGCAAGGTCAGCATGCGGAACGCCGAAGGGCAATTCCGCGACAGCAGCTTCTTCGGAGGCTCAGGGAAGGGTCTCTAACACATATTCTCCCGACGGGAAGCCGAGCCGCTGGCAATATAATTATACGGGCATTTGTACCTGACCGTATGCTCCGCGGCTCAATGCCTCTCTCAGAGAGGCTCTCCGGTCACAGCGGCGATATGTTCCCTGGGATGGTCAGGACATTCTCATTCGAATGCACGAATAGTCTCCAAGAGGTGCTCTAGGGCTCACTTCCCTATCTCTGCGGTAACAAGCGAATCGAGCCTCAAACCAATCGTCATCGTGTCCATCTCCAGCTCGCCGTGAGAGACATTGAAGAGCTCGAACTGCGAGAAAAAAATTTCGACAACTCCGGATATCGGTCTTCGGGGAAGCGCGGCGCAGGAACTTTGGAACCACCGATGCGATTGGAGAGGGTACTCCTCCCATGAATCATGGAACCTGCTCCCGACTGCTGAAATCTAGTCATTCTAGGAAATTGATTCCCAACACGCATCTGAATTATCGAGGAGTCGGGTCGATAATTCGCATTCAATGCTCTTCGACGACGGTTGACAGCTTGAACAATCTCAGAAGTCCCGTCGCGTGTTTGGGAGCACCGAGAGTGGAAGCCTCCATCAAGAGCTCAGATCGGGGGGATCGCCGGACGGAATATGCGATGGGTGTATCGAAATTCGTGGATTCGCCAATCCAGCAGCCTGATTGGTATTCGTGTTCTCACCGTTCACCGAGATGGATCTGTGACGCCGCCGCCGCCGCGCCGCTTGGATCAGTCCATCGTCGGCGTCGCGTTTAGCGCAACGAGGCTCTTCGTAGTCCGCTCACCTTCGGTATCCGTCAAGCGGCGAGCCTCTGGACCAATTGGCTACCGCTCTAACTTTGCGACTCACAGCGAGAGAGATCTATGAGCTCATGATCAAGCGATCGTGAGTCGAAAAGTGAGCCCAGTTTTTATTCTGACGGCCGCTAAGACTTTCCCGTGGATGGAAGATTTCAATTCGTCATATATGTCGGGATCTGTGGCGGCTCGGAATCCTCCTCTGTGGTCGGAATGTTCCACGGTGCTTCAAGTTGGCTCCCTATGTTTCTGTGCACTGTGTGCACCGTGCTCGCAGAACTGCGTCAATCGGAAGCCCGTCGCCTGAAGAGACTCCATGTTGAGCTGGACGGTAACAGTTCGCTGCGAATCGTTTACGATCTATACAATCCGCAGGCGTTGGCTTGGGCAAGTTTCAAGGACGCGACGCTCCAGGAAGGCTGGGCGTATCTCCACATCGAAACTAACCCGAATTTCCCAGATGAGCTGACGGCCTATGCCGCTGGGGTTCTCGAAGCAGAGGCAACTAGAAGTCTCATAAGTAAACAAATACAAAATCGATATTCGAAATACTGTTCCAATCTGCAACGAGTCACATGTAAACGTATCGGAAGGTACCTCCAGAAGCAAGTGAACTACATGTACAGAAGGGCTCTCTCGGGGAGGAAGAAATCAGCGTTCTGGAATCAGATCTATCTGCTTCTAAAGCAATTCACCGGTTTGAACGATCATTTCAATGGAGCCGTATTGCAATCTGGAAATCGTTTCAACGCCTCCGAGCCCCTGACAATGATGATCATCAATTGGGAAGGCGATCTTCTCGGTATCGAGCAAGTGCTACCCATGATCTGGCCGGTCAGGGATGGAATTACGAAAAAATCGAGTAGAATCAATACTAAACGTGGATCGCGGATCCCCGGACTCTATGTCAGGGACTCAAGAAGTGAAACTGGGAACTCTTCATACCTCTCTCTACCCCCCGGTCACTGCTCGGCTCTGATTAAGTACGTCGATGACAACATCTACATAGGGCATACAAGCTGGTTCGATTACGATTCGATGATCCGAATCGAGAAGAAATATGATTTCGCCTTCCGATTACGCGACGATGCTTCTCCCTCGATGGTGCCTGGGAGGAGACTCGTTATGACGTCGTACCCGGGGTGCCTTTATTCGCTAGACGAGTTCTATCTCATCGGGTCTGGGCTCTTCGTAATGGAAACCACTTTGGATGTTTTCGACCAATGGATTTTAAGACGATGTCGGGTGAAATCCGTCCCGACCTGGATGCGTTCCATGGCGGCGAACCGCTTATCAGCATCGGGGGAGGAGTGGGTTCGCCACTTCAGTCAAGAAAACTCAGGGACCTACAACAACCAATACATGATCGTCGATTTCAATAAATTCGAAACGAACGGTAGGACGGTGGCGGACGATGTCCTGTGGGTTGTTGAACAGATGCCCGGCACTTTCGTCAGCAGAGACCTATCGAGCGTTCTGCGCGGCAAGGGATTCTTCGCAAGTTTCAATGTCCCCTATTTCGAAGAAATCAGAAAAATCAACCGTCTGCAGGACTTCGAAGCCTTCACGACATTCTACAAATACGAAACAAATCCCAGGAAGCTGATCTTCGATCGGGATCAAGACGGCGTAGAGTCTGTCAGCAGCATGATGAACTTGATGCGATACAATGACTACAAGAACGACAACTTATCGACGTGCGGAGAATGCAAACCTCCGACCCGAGTCGCGACGTTCGCGATCGCGGCTAGGGCTGACCTGATCGACCTCGAGAAGCACCCGATCTACATCTTCAAGGGACTCAGCGGGGCGACAGATGCCAAAGCCATCGACTTCAATGGCTTCAAACGACAACGAATCGCTCTCGTCAATGGTCCGCCGAACGAGAATGTTCCCACGTTTTCGTGGAATGACACGGGTCTCCCGACACCTGCGGGACATCCGGACAAATTCGATTTCCCCATAGTCATCCATGATTTCGAGGAAAGTCTGCATGATCGGGCGCCGGACGAATCGCAGACGAGGTGTGGAGGAGATGTCATGATCGACGACGAGGTCGATGAAAAAATAATCAATAACAATACGTCCCGGATGCAGGTGTAACTCTGCTGGTTCTCATTTATTTGACAGGGATCCCTCCGTAACTCTCATACATTCATTCCGTTCGTTAGATTACGGCTTTGGGAAAATTCTTTGATCGTCAATGGAATCGCTGGAAGTCGAACCGTCTGAATAATGACAATAATGACTTTGCACAACATCGAATGTGACGAATGCTGGCGCAATTGAAGTGGAAGTAGGACTCCTATCCGATCTATTGGGCTGGGAATCTCGTCTCGACCATTCGAGGAGTTCGTCGGCGGATTTCGGTGTTTCCGATGAGTGTTTCCGGCTTTCCGCCCCCGACACTAATGGAAAACGTTACTGTAACCCTTCTGATTATTATTCAGTGTGTAACTGAGTGCCGAGAGCCCGATCACGGCCGAGGCGCAAGCTTTCACCGCCAACAAGGCCCAGGGGTCCAGAGGTAACGCATCGAAGAGAGCTGCACGATACGTCAAGAGAATCAGAGCGAGAACCAAGGGAGTTGAGCGCTCTGAGCTCTTCCATTGCGCCAAGAGTATAGCCGTGCTCAGATGGAATACAAGTCCGATGTTCGAGTCGAGGGCCATTTGCAGATATCTGTCGGAGAGAAAACTCCCTGTTCAGAAGTCACGTCGACATTCGGACCGTGTGGTGGGAAGGTGATCGTTCTTCAGGTCTTGTGGCGGGAATATGATCGTTCGCCGCTACGCCAGGGAGATCCGCTCCGAGTGATCAACCTACCTCCAGGAAAACTCTACGCCTCGGGCCCCCACCCAGAAAGGCAGGAGTCTGGTGAAGATGAACTCTGCGGCAGCCCAACTGAAGCCGGTTACAAGGAAGCGAAGGTCTCCGTAGACACCTGCAAGTTTTGTTTTGCTTTACCTGCGACTTGAAAACTCCGCACGAGGGGATTAGTTGGGTATTCTCGAGAGCTCATGCGACCGCAATGTCCATGCAATAGATCGTACGAAAAATACGCACCCCCTCTGCTCATGACAGTCTGGAGCACGACCAAATCGAGTACTTCCATAGAATGTCGGAGAGCTTCTCCGTAGTATGGCACGGAGTCAATTACAAACGTAGCTAAGAATAACATTTTCCCGAGTTGACAAACAGCATAGCAACTCGCTGCCTGCACACACTTCCAAAAGCAGCCGTGCTCCGATAAACCTGAGAATAAAATTGACGATGGTCAGAGACATCGATCCAATCGACCGTACCTCAGAGAGCGCGATACGAGACACTCCCTGGCTCATTCGGACGACGATCTTTTCGGTTCGGGACGGGAAACTCCATGGAAAAGGGATTAGAGAAGCCTCTGAGGACCAGAGCTCACCTACCTGATAGTCTGTAAGTAATTACGTAAGGCACCGCGGCGAGCGATAAACAGTTCAGGAAGTGTATCAAAGTCATTTCGAAGCCGAGTGGAATCCCCACGAAATCGGGCTTCAGTACTATTCAACTTCGCCGCTGGGGCACAGCTCCGACGACTAAGATAGACGAGGGTACGAGACCGAAGAAAATTTCTGGAACCGATTCTGTTCTCCCTTTTCCTTGTCTTGTACCGGCGCCTTTGAGTTATTATTTAGCTCTCACGAGCCACTCATCGTCGTGGAACTAGCAGCGGCGGAAGAAGACGACGTCGTCAGCTGATGGTTGCAGACGACACATTCGAGACCGGACGGGAGAGGGCTCTTTCGAAGATCTGGCGCGGAGCTCTCGGTGCGTCCACGCGCTCCGGGAGCTCATCGGAGTTGGTCCACAAGCTCTGAGAGCCAGAGCTCGAAGCCTGGGCTGTCGACCTGAGGTTCCTTCTCAATTGGAAATCATATCAATCATAGGATATCATGTAATCGTAGAAGCCAGGCTTTGAGGTGAAGAACTCCCGAACCTAGCACCTCGCGCGAGACGTCTCCCATCCAATCATACCCGATACTCACGCATGCGACTTCGATTACTATCATTTGTCCCGATGGGGAGGACCAGCCAAACTCGAAATTCTCGCCGGCCTATATTGTCCGAATTTGCGTGCTAGGACCCGAGGATGACTGCTATGCGTGGGGAGCTTGTGGGAAGAGTACTACAAGTCTCGATCGGGCATTTGCGCGAAATTTCGATAGCCCCGGATCCACCGATTCTCGTAGAAGTGGCTTCATGCCCAACGAAGGTTTCGTGGGGATGATTGTCAGAGCGATGCGCTCTGACATGCTCTGAGTCTAACCTAGCTGTAAGTCTGAGGACTCACAGTTTCCGTCTTATTCATGGCTCATGACTTGCACGTCTCGATAGATCGTTTGAGTCGCGCCGATACCGGTAGCCGAGGTCAGGCTTGGGGAGGTCGCTAGTGATATCAATTAATAACCCTTGTCGGTCAGCGGGGCTCACCCTCACGCCGAGTTGCTTTCCTCGGAGGTATTGTGCATATTGAATTTCACTCATTCAGCCTTTTTTTCAGAGGCGGCTTTTTTGTGTCAGATGGGCTGGTCGGCCGACACGACGGATTTGAACATCGCTCCCCGGCCTTCCGGCCATGATTAGATGTCGCACAACATCGACGGGAGACAATCGGAACCGAGGACAACTGGATCCTTCGGCGAGAAAACGAGCTGATTCTTCGCGTGCTCTTTCCACCGTGTGGAAAATGCGTCACGATACTAGAATAAGGGATCGCACGGCGCAACATGGAATCAGGGAACTCGCTCAAGGAGGTTCCTTCGATTCGTTTCGAGTCTAGACTTCGATGAATGATTTCCCTATTACGCCATTCTTCTACGTCTACCTCGGCTGATGTTGTACTGAGCGAAAAGAGGCTCATCTACGGCAGCGCTGAATCCGACGCTTTCGGCTGGTCCCAGTCGTAATAGCAATCTCGAATTGATGGGAAAGACCGCCGTTCAGATCGACTAGGGCAGAAGATATGAATGAACTGGATACATCCGATCTCAGTGGGCGAGATGGATTCCAGCTTAATTTAGGCTGACAGCGCAGTTCCGTCTCACTTAGTTTACAGCGAGAGGACAATCCGCGTTGACGCGATTCTCCGGAATAGGTGGCCGCCGAACATGCTGCACGTCTAAACTGATTCAAAGCTCGCCTTGGATCGTGCTGGCTCTACCTCTTACCTCCTGGGCATACCTCTTACGATTCGATGGCGAGGATTCTGCCGAATTAACCAGACTGCTCTGTTTGAATATCGAAATCCAATGATCTGAACTACTCGAACCCGCTCGAGCAGATGAGATCCCCACGATTCGATGGGAGGAGGGCGGAATATCGATTATGTTTTAGCCTTGTCGAAACTCACGAGTATATATCCTCATGCGATTGAGTCGATATAACAATAGCCCCGAACCCCGGCGTCTCGTCGTATGATGATTATTCACTCATTCGTGATTATTTACGGAGCAATCGATGAGAAAGGTCTCTTCATGGCCGGACAATTCGAATCATTGCATTCCCGGGAAGCGCATTGGAGTGTTCGATGCGAGCCGCAAGCTCGATTATTCAGGATCGTTTGCGCGCCCCTTATGTCATCATTGGTGATGTCAGCAACCAGATAGCTGCTACTTCGGAACCTATTCATAAAGTTCCTGAGTTTCTCTGAATACGTCCTGAGCAATTTGGGTCTGGCTCGTTGAGGCGGCATTCCACTGTAGTGGAGTTATTCGCAACTGCGAGGGCTGATCGATGCTGCGGAGGGGGAGAGACCGTCGATCCCGAACGTACCTCCGAGGCGGCGCTGAAATCATCGCCGAGCTTGAAAGCCAGATGTCCAGGATGTGCTTTCCGAGAGCATTATTCCCATGCTTCGAAGCGAGGTCGAGCACGTAAGGTCAACGGAGTCCGCGCATTGCGAGAGCGGACTACTCAGACCGAGGGTGTTGCAAATCGTCGTGCATTTCCGTTGAACAATTTTCCTGGTGTATCTCACGTGATGTCCAGAGCTCTTAGTCGCGAGTTTTTGTTTGAGAGGGCAGAAGACCAGCTAAATTACGTTCGAATTCGCCCTCTCCACATCTGCGCAAGAAGAGCGTATTTTTAGACACGTGAGTTTTCCATTGACGGCTCCCCGAGGCACAGAAGATTCACAGCGAGCATTTCCGGGAACTCGTTATGTCTGCGACTGGCTCTGGGTGAGTGAAACTCGGCGGTGAGGGCATGTCACTGAGTCGGTCGATCGAAGTAAACTTCGTGAGAGGTTCATGCGGTCGCCGAGGCTGGTTCTTGCGTCAATAGTTCTCCTCATGTCATCATTGCCAACGGTGGGGAGTGTGAGGAACTCGCTCCACTTTTCTTTGCTGCCTAAATCAGGTGAGTGTGTTGTGTGCCTCAATCAGGGCAGTGATCGATTGGGAATTGGGTTCTCCTCTCGTTCGCGTGGGAACCATCAGGAGACCTCGATACCCTTCAAAGCGACTGCGTCCGCTCGACACGTAGTTCAGAGAAGTTTGCTGTCAACCATCGATCTGAGCAATCAATTTCTCCCACTGTACCGGGAACGCGGGAGCTCGGAGGTCTTCTCGAAGCTCAAGATTGCGTGCCTCGCGGTTCGCGCGGGAAACTCGATACACGAGTTGCTGTGCAAACAAAATATAATAATGCAGATACCTCAGGTATGCTCGAGCTACTGATCGAATTCCGCCACAAGTAATTGAATTCCACCACTCACGGCGGACATCATTGACCGAGAATCTGCCCCCCTTATCGCTGCGGAGCGAGCTTCCGAAAAATTAACGGAAGTCACGAGGCAGGCTTCTGCATATGAGTCTCTGTTTCTAGGACCCGGGAGCCGCACTCCGGTGATCATCAACGGCCAGCCCGTCTTCTCATTCGAATCACCGCCAAACCTGCGTCGACGGTCGCCGCCCTCAGAAGCATTGTTACAGTTCAAGATTATCCGAAAACAGCGAGACCCTGTTTCGGTTTGCGTTTTCGAGCTCAAGAGTCATCACAGCAAATCGGGTCTGTCATGCCGACCCTCGGGACACGAATTCGATGGGCATGGGTCTAGCCAGCGCTATTCGCCTAGGTTTGGGCGAGAGTTTGCTGGTTTCAATTATTCCTAGCGATCTCTCGACAGGTTCCAATTCAACCGAGCTCGTTCTGCTTAAGACATCTCGCGTGGATCGGAATCAACAATTCGTGGCACTCGACATCACCGATCGCGTGGCGAGATGGCTCCGGAAAGGAAAAAAACTCCGCCTACTGGTTGATTGCATCGGTTGTCATCAGTTTGCCATAGAAGCAACAACGGGCCCCACGATCGACATCCGAGTCGACAAGAGCTCGGACGCCAGTTTCCGAAGGCGACGACAGCGCTTTCGAGCGATTCCCCGGAGCGAGCCCACATGTATAAACGGTCAGGGTTGTTGTATGAAAAGTCTCTACATAGATTTCCGCAAGTTGGGTTGGGATTCCTGGATCATCGCTCCTACCGGCTACGACGCCAAGTACTGCCAAGGAAACTGCAGCAACATTCCACGGACGCCCGACACTTTCAGCACGCATTACTCATACATCCTCGATAGATATCGACGCAAGGTACGCGACATGGACATCCACATACGATATCGCCTATAGACGACGGACGTTTTCGCGAATTCTTTTTCCGAAAGCCTTCCTGAGGGAATATATTGAGAGAAGGGAGCTGAGATTCGGTCGGATGTAGTCTCAGAATTCGGTCAATGAATGAGAATGTTTTTAGGTGAATCTCCGGGACCCAGCGTGCTGCGTGCCGATTCGATTGAGACCCATGAGTCTGCTGTATCATGATAACCGGGGACGAATCGTGAAATCTGACGTTCCTAATATGATTGTTGACGAGTGCGGCTGCGTTTGAACTAAATGGATCGGTCTCACGACTGTGCGAAGGTTCAATCACGGAGTCCGTCTGGCTCAATCTTACAATGACGGGACTGATTTCCCCACTACTCGCCGCCTGACGCCTCAGGACGTAAATAAATGACCCGGTCGCATTTTAAAGAGAATATACACCATTTCTACTCCGTACAGTATGTAGGGACCGGAGTCGCCAACTTGAGTCCATCCCCTCCCGGAGGCTTGCTAAAGTTGAGACGCATTAATCGATCAAAGCTGCATTCGCTTTTTCGATCCACGGAGCCCGTGGAACGATTTTGAAGCGACTACAATACACCGGACACAGCATACAATTTTCGACCGTCGATGAGGGCTCATGAATAATTAATTATAGCAATCAACCTTTCATTGAATGGGTGAACAGGCCGGTCATCGACTGGGCATAGACTTCTCGTCGAGCAGCATGGTGCAGCTTTCGATCGGGGGAGCATGCTGCTTCGACTAACGACACCGACGACCTAATCGCTGTTGGAGGAAGACGTGCATCCTCCCAGCTTCCCATCGCGCTTTTCGACGTATGTTCTCACCCCCGTCCGTCATACGAAAACACTTCAACGTGCTTAGTTCCCCTGATCGCCACGGACGGAATTAACCGCAGATCCCATTCCTTCCACGAACTCAGATCCAACGCCTTCCCCCTCTTCGCTCGTCTGAAGGGATCTCTCGCATACGCATCTAGCGGAATACGCACATATCAATATCTGAAACCGCCGTTGCGCAGATTGTTCCTGATCCTGCGAGCTTTTAAGGGCGATGGGAAGACCCATTAGTCTTATATCACTCAGGGAATTTCATCCTGTCCCGTGGGGACTCTTGGAGTTCTCCGGGATCTTCAGCTTCTCAGATTTTCTCCGTTCCTCCGTGGAGTCAAGTCTGACCAACCAGAAGTGTATTCTGTCTCTTTTTCCTTCCCGAGATCTCCTATCGACATGACGGGAGAACTTGTCCCCTTACACGTGATGAGCAGCCTCAAGTGGGCCTGAGCCACGGTCTGCAATTTGTAGAAGCGTGAAGAAGCTCTGTCAAGGGGCTACAGATGTTCGCGATCGAAATGGACAGCGGAGCAGATCACCGGCGCGCGGCGCGACGTATGTAAATATCCATTGGAAAGCAGGCAAAGCGAGCGCCCCGTCGGACTTACTCAGAGCGAACGATTCGGTGGATTTTATGAGGATTAATCGATTTCTCCCGGGAGAATATCCGGAGGACAGTTTCGTCTCGATCGAATCCTACGAAGTCGTGTCTGACGAGCCATTAATTTTTTTTTCGATGAGATGCTTCGAGATTACGAGATCGACGGACTTCCACGTGCCTCCATGGGATTACCGTGAATATTCTGATAGACGAACAGTTTCTAATAGACTGGCAGTTTCCAATGAATGGACAGCCTCCAATGAACGGGCAGGCTCTGGAGCATAGATGAAATAGCTGGGCAGTCACTGATGGACGGGCAAGTAATCGAGTCGCCACGAGCGGGAAACCCCTCTCGGGGCTTGTCTTCGTGAGCTTTCAGCTTGCTCTTGGTACTTATTCAATTGTTCCCCTATGGCATGCCAGAAGGAGCGACCGGACTTGATTCCCTCGTTGATGGGCGGGAAAATCGAGAATCGTCTCTAATGTACGGCCAGGTTCTCAATGCTTGGGAAAAGGACGGGAATGCCCTTCGATCAGGATATTCACGGTGTAGTCGATCTGGTGACCGACGGCTGATGAATGATGAAATTGTCTTCTCCTCATCGGAGATATGATCCCTGTCGGTCCAGCACATACTTCTCTCGAAAGTGGAGCCATTATTCCAGCGGTAAGGATGATTCGGGGACCACAGCTCCGGATAATTATCCGACCATACCCGAGTCTCTCTCATCTCTCACTCGAGTTGCGATCCGCGTGAATCCCCGAGGAGCGTATCGGACAATCCATCCCGACGGACACCGCGCGAATGAGATCAAACAGAGTGAAGAGCTCGAATTACCCAACAGATCTAGTCGGGGATCGTATTCCGCATGAGATGAACCTAACCAAGCCGGATGAGATAGCCCATCGAATTCTCACAATCGATGAGGACCCTAAGTCATGCCACCGGGAATCCTACGATGGCTGCGTATATTTACCAATTGTCCGACCTAGAATCGCTCCCGTTTTCGTATCACGGAAACAAATTTTCCGTATCACCTTGGTCGGCTGCCTCATGTGGGTTCATGCATAATCTCCCGCTTTGATACACAGAGAAATCGATCGTTTGTGCATCTAGAGGAGACATGCGACCACCTGGCATGTGCAGAATGTTACAGTCACCTCCGCTTATGATTTTAGTGGACGCTGGACTACAATCGTCAGAACAGTCTTGGAACAGCATCCGAAACGCCACGATCATGTCGCCGACGCCGTGTTCACTGTACCGCTGTTCGAAACGAGTTCTGATTGTGCTCTCAAGTGCTCTCGTCGTCGTCCTGATGCTGATGTCCTTGGTACAGCTGAAAAAGAAAGTGAACGAATTCTGTCAGACCGTCGACCCTCCTAATTCCACCACGACCGTGCTGGGAGCACTCACGAGGTCGTTTGTTTTTGGGTAGCGGATTCATCGTGAGCTCTTCGAGAGGCGCACACAGGAGAGGGACTCCGGCAGGTGACGAAGGAAGGACCTATCCTTGAATCGAGTCAGTGTTTCCGGCGAAGAGTTAAAACGAGCAAACATCGTGGAAGTGCCGAAGAAGTCAACCGGGGTTCAGCATAACGATTAACGGATGTCGAATTGTCGAAAGCTGATAGAGTCATCGTCGCGTACCTCCTAGAATCAGTTCAGATGAAGGAATAAATTTGTTAACTGACCCCCGCAATCCAAATCCGACATTATTTATTCTGTACTCCGTGTGGGATAGAGGTGAAGAGTTGCTCTCTTGATTTGGTTCATCTCCATGATGGAACACAGAACCTGTTCCCCAAGCCGAAAAGGACCGAACATCTCTCCAAGCATCGCATTGCAACGCAAGGTCGACGTGGCACTCTTCTCCGAGTCGCAGTCCGAGTGATTCAGAGCCTATCGCTCAGAGGAGTCATCGGAACAGTTGACCGAAGCACCATCCTCCGTGCATGATATCCCGATAAAAACCATCGAGAGCTCGACGAGACTTCTCAGTTTCGCTTCGGGCTTTTTGGGGGATGACTAGACTCCCGGGCTCGGAAAGTTCCAAGCACATTCCCTGGCACCAATCCACGAAAATGTCGCGCTTTGTCGCTCACCAAAGCGGGATGAAATGCACAGTCAAGCGACCGCGATATTCAACCACCCGCAGTTGGAGCCTAACGATTCCTGAGTCTGATCCGCAAAAAGTCTAGACGGCCATCATCCGACGCCAACACCCTCCGCGGATTACAGTAATTTCTACGCGATTCCGACGGGGTATCCCTATCGCTCCCCATGTTCTTTCCGTTGTGGAACGAGTTCCAGCCGACGTTATTTCCCGCACTCATCGAAGGGCATCGTCAGCCGTTGTTCTTGTTCGTCTGGCCTCGTGAAAGTGCTCCCACCTAAGTTTCGAAGCAGTCCTCTCAAGTGTTTTGCTAGCGGAGGCATCCTCCGTCTGTCTGGGCCGAGCTCTTCCCGGGATCCAATCTCGCCAACTTTGGACTTACAGTATTTTTCACTCGTAGCGTCCGATAAATCGAAGAAGACTGCGGTCCTCCGACAGAGACCGCAACGCGGTTGTCATCTCCATACTCTTCTGAAGGTAAGGAGGGGAAGGAGAGCCGGCTCGATCAACGCATCCGTGGAGCATCAGTATACTGCGACGATTCACACGGGAATGCTCTTACCGGGGCTGCCGCTTCCGAAGTTCGGATTCACTTGGTTCGCTCGCGAACATGGAGATTCCGAAGCGAACATTCCGCGGCGTGATCAAACTTCGAAAGTCTTGTTCCCAACAGAGATTGTCCTACTGTTTCAAGATGTCGAGCGCATCGAAGTCACGATAGCGATTCGCAGTAGAAGCTCGACGATGAGGAATGTCAGCTAGGGTGGGCGGCTAACGCAACAGAATCTCGCGCGATCTCTACACAGGCCTCGCCTCACACTTCCTTCACGCAGTTCGTATGAGTTCTCGAACCGGCAGTCGTCGGACGAACTTGATTCTGCGCGTACGACCATCCGAGCGCGTGACGTCACAGACGGGAGGCTTTGAGGCTGTGTTTCCATATAGCACAAGCCTGTGCATGCGACTCTTGATTCTTGATATCCCGACAGTGAGCGGAGCCATAAATAAGATGTGACTCCAAGTAATCGGAGGCCGATCCGCCGACGGAAAAAAAAGAATCGGGAGTGAGCCTTGTGGGGAGCCAGAGACCATGGAAAGAGAACAGCGAGAAGTTCGAGCGGTCAAGTCCGTCTTCGAGAAACATTGATCTTTAGCCTCGGACCCAAAACCTCGGGCAATGGCTGCTGGGGATGGGTTTCGCAATGGAAAGAGGATGAGCATGATCAGTCGGATACGTCCGGACATAGCAGCGTCCTCATCCGGGTTCCGATCGTGGGCTCTAGTCGCCAGTCCCGAGCCCCTATATACATAGGTCAGGCGGAGGCTGGAGTCAAGAGGCAAATTTGAACGCCCGACTCGAGTTCTGAGCGACAGTTCCACCATCATCTCTCGATCCGCGGTGCAAACGCTGTGACCACAGGCGCAACCGCGGCTCGCCTAACGAGATGGCCAGAAGGCGGGCTTCGGTTCGTGCCACGAACCACGAAGCTCTCTCTACCTTCCAGACTCAGGCCGGGGAGAAATTCGGGAGCATTCCCTTGGAATGCTCCCGATCTCGGGAGTTTGCAGCTAAAACTCGGGAAGGAAGCTCTACCATCTCAGCGGCGCCGGAAATAGGACGTGACACGAAATGGACTCTTCCATGTCCGATAGTTCCGATATTACTCCCGAATTCCACGCCCGATAAGCAAGGGTTCGCCGGGCCGGGACAGCCACGACCGATCGAGGTCATGATCATAGAAAAGATTCATGGTCGAGAAAGGGAATTCGGAATGCGCGAATGAACCCCGTACAGGAACTCGCAAGCTCGAAATCCTTGCAACCAGCCAATGAGCGGATGTCCAGCACTCGGCACCCTCTCCCAAACTCCGATTTCGAATCCTGGCGCGCTTGCCGCGAGCTGCTCGATGGCGCCGCGAGCCTAACATCAGCATCAAAAGCTTCGTTTGGTTGTTCAGAATGGCCACCAATATCCAGCACTCGAAAAAACGTGTTTGCTATTACTACGATGGTGAGTTAAAGCTGAATTACTCCGACATGCATTCTCTTTAGGCGGTTTAACCTCTGGGAGCGAAAATTCCGCTGAAATACGCAGATTTGCCAAAGTTTCGAAGTTTTCCGATCTGGTAGCTCGGTTGGCTTCGCCGGTAATCTTCTTGGATTCGTTTTCGGGGCGATATCGGAGGTTGTCAAGCTGGTTAATAATCCGGAGGTGCCCAAGCTCTAACCCGAGACGGGAAAACCGTGGAAAGATGCTCGATTTGCAATTTTTTCTAGCTTGGACCGCTGGGCACGGTGCTCCGTAGAGTGGGCGCCGCCGAACATCTGAGGCGCGAAACACACTTTCTTGAATACGATTCGAGGGACTTGTCGATTGAAATACCCATGAACCATTTCGAAATATCGAAGCGTTCGGTAGACGTTGGACGTAATCAGCGTCTCCGTCGAATTCCGTATTTTGTACTCGCAGACCGGTCGTTGTTTGCTCCGTAGCGACCGGAGCAGGGCACCGGTCCCGTGAGGTGCTCCTGAATGGAAATATTGTGACAAGAATACATGTACCATGCTTGCTTCCATAACACTCGACTATGCGATCGAGTTCTGGTGGCCTACGGCAGGGATTGAGAGAAAAACGAGGGGGTTCCCGAAACGTGATGCACCATGGCTCGTTACCCCGCTGAATTCCTGCCGGATGTCTCAGAACTTCTGATCTGACAGACATTCGGTCACGATGTTTGTTTGAGCGGGAACGTCCACGGAATTGTCTGCTGGATCCTGGGAGAAGTCGATTCATGGCTGTCGATTAATCGCTATCTGAACGAGCGTATTGAATCTGATCTCGAATCGGGGCGCTAATGCGAGGAAAAATGCATTGCAGGTGACATCGGAAACTACTACTATGGCCAGGGTCATCCAATGAAGCCGCATCGTATGCGTATGACCCATAACCTCATCTTGAACTATGGACTCTACCGTCGCATGGAAATCTATCGACCCCACAAAGCCACCCAGGAAGAGATGACCAAGTACCACAGCGACGAGTACATCCGCTTCCTTCGTTCGATTCGACCAGACAATATGAGCGAGTACAACAAGTTCATGCAGAAATGTGAGTCACGCATCTGATCCTCCAGATAAGTCGCCGCTCACACTACTGGAGCGGGCCGACGATCATATACGCGCCTAACGCGGGAAAAGGACTGCTCCGACGGACGGCCGAGAATTTCCTAACGGCATTCCCTTCTTTTCCAGTCAACGTGGGTGAAGATTGCCCGGTGTTTGACGGACTTTACGAATTCTGCCAGCTGTCGACCGGCGGTTCAGTCGCGGGCGCTGTCAAGCTCAACAAGCAGGCCACCGATATCGCAGTCAATTGGTCTGGCGGACTTCATCACGCGAAAAAGTCAGAGGCCTCTGGTTTCTGTTACGTTAACGATATCGTGCTCGCCATCCTGGAACTTCTCAAGTACCATCAGAGGGTTCTGTACATCGATATCGATGTTCATCACGGCGACGGTGTGGAAGAAGCATTCTACACAACCGACCGTGTCATGACAGTATCGTTCCACAAATACGGGGAATACTTCCCCGGAACTGGGGATCTCCGCGATATCGGAGCTGGGAAAGGAAAGTACTACGCTGTGAACTTCCCCCTCCGCGACGGAATCGACGACGAACAGTACACCGAAGCAGTATTCAAGCCTCTGATGACCAAAGTCATGGAAATGTACCAACCGAGCGCTGTCGTGCTCCAGTGCGGAGCGGATTCGCTCTCGGGCGACCGCCTTGGTTGCTTTAATCTCACGCTCAAGGGTCACGGTCGATGCGTCGAATTCATGAGGAAATTCAACGTGCCGCTCCTTCAACTCGGCGGAGGCGGCTACACCATCCGAAACGTGTCCCGTTGTTGGACCTACGAGACAGCGGTGGCCTTAGGCGTCGAGATCGCCAACGAGCTGCCGTACAACGATTACTTCGAATATTTCGGACCCGACTTCAAACTTCATATCTCGCCGTCGAACATGGCCAACCAGAATTCACCGGAATACGTCGACAAGATCCGCACGAGGCTTTTCGAGAACCTCCGGATGCTGCCTCATGCGCCGTCGGTGCAGATGCAAACTACACCCGAGGACGCGATCGACACCGATAAGGCCAAGGCCGAAGACGACGAAGCGGCTGATTCCGGCAAGAACGATGAGCAGCGGATCAGCATTCGGCACTCGGAGAAGCGAGTGGCCAATGAAGAGGAGTTCTCCGATTCGGAAGACGAGGGGAGCGGTCAACGGAGGGACATGAGAACCCACAAGCCCAAACGTCACAAGAAGGGTTCTCAAGGGGGGGATACCGAGGATACATCGGACGCTAAGACTGAGCCTGACACGAAAGAAGAGAAAGCCGATGCCAAAGCTTGAATATCCCGAGGCTGTCGATCGTGACGACGAGAACATCTGAGTCAAGAAAGCGAATCAGCTAGATCGATTGATTGTAAACTGCTGCGTTGACCATCGTCTAATGGATTCGAATGTCTCGAACGGAGATGTCGGGCAGGATTTTCCTGCACTGACTTTTACTAAACAGCTTTATCGGATACGATCTATGAAAATGTGTTATTCATTCGTGACCCTCGCGAGAAGCGCTCGGTCGCTAAGGGAAGATTCGCTTATTTCTTCAGTGTAGTATTGGGAGCCCGAGGAACATGGGGCTGCCACCGATATGGATCCGCATTCCGCATGGTGAAAAATCAAGATGATGATAATACGCGTGCAGAAAATCACCTTGCGCGGGCCACGTCTTCAGCGTTCGTGGCTGTCTGACATTGTAGGATCGTAGGCCTCGTATTCTTAATTCTTGACTGACGCACTGACTGAGTAGAGTTGGATTTCTATTTTTTTTTCATAAGAGGTGGACGATGTAAAAATTGTAAGACTCAGGCTCAAGGGTGAGAAACCTACGCTGAGAGAGGAACATGATCGTCGAAAATGTTTGGAAATTTTGGGCTTCTGCACAGGATTCGTGGACTTGCGGAGGCATGCATGTCATTCAGACGATAGGGAAACCACGCGTCTTGTTTAATCGGTGGAGCTCACTCCCATGAGAGAATAAATCGATCCATGAGGCGACGGATGAGTTGCTTAAATTCGAGTGACGAGAGTTTTCAAAGGACGGCATCACCAAAGTTAGCCTATACTTTATTACACATCTGTAGAGGACGCCCTGAGGCAGGTAGAAAAAGTTTTCCGGAAGCTTCCGTACAAAAGTAGACATTTCCCTCGTCGAGCTACCGGTCCGCTACTATCCACCACCTCCAATTGGTTCCTAAATTCTAGACATCTTGTGATATTTGTCGATCGGCTGTGGCGTCCGCGGACGCAGGACGTGGGGCACTGATCACGCCAGTCGCCTGGAAGACTTCTGCTAGCGGAAATCTCCTCGCACAGCTGTTCTTGAAAGCCTTCAGGTATTCGGCATCCCCAATAGCTCCGAAGGCTCCGCTCTCAAGGAGCTCCATGACCTCCTCACAACGCTCTCTGGTGACACCATGTTTGATCAGGGGGTCGGCTTCGAAATTAAGCAGCTTCAAGGCCTCGCTTTGTTTCGTTTTATCCAGCTCGTAGAGTACGGTGGCCGCCGCGACGGCGTGCGCATACGAGTCTCGGTGCTGCTGGAGAAAATCGCTGTTCAAATCCTTGGCGCTCTTCTGCTTCCCTGAGAGTAGACTAGATAATTGTTTCTCGACAACAGCTCCGACCGGACCGGTGAGGTCTTGGTTGGCAACTTTCGAGACGAAGTGCGCCAAGCAGACGTGGAGCTGCGGATGGTCAGGCTGAAGACGATGAGCCCTCTTAAGGCACTGCAGCATCAGCAAAGGTTTCCCGGTCCGCATGTAGATCTCGTAGGCCAGGAGATGCGTCTCGATATTTTTCGGACTGAGCTCCTGGAGGGGTTTGAGGAAGCGAATCGCCTCCTCCAGGGGATTCTCGGGGCGCTCAAGTTTCTCGGGATTCAGTGTGTCCTCGAGTTTCTCATCATCGTTAGCGACCTTCTTATCTTTGTTCTCTTTCTCGTCCTGTCGAACCTTCTCTTGAGCCTTTTTCTGCTTGCTGCGTAACTTCTTGAGTTCGCTCTTCGACAAAGTGCTCTCGAGCTGGTCTTGTTCGGCTTTCTTGTCGTTCAAGGGATGATCATGCAGTCTGAGATAAGTTTTTATGGCGATACGTGCTGCTTTAAAGTAGAACGGATGTCCGCGGACGACATCCTCGAGTCGCAGGAGGCCTATATACGAGCGGAGTGTTGTTTTGCGCATGCAGTAAGTATGGAAATCGAACTGATCTTCAATGATCTCGACAAAGTGGCGGTCGACCTCATGACACTTCTTCAGAGCGTCACCGTATCGATTCAGTTTTGAATAGGCATTGGCGCATTCCGTCTGGAACCACATGCACTGCATCTCGTTCAGGTTCTCCATGGCGGAGACGTTTTCGCGGGTGAATTTCGCGCACATCGCTTCGGCCTCGTCGAGGAGCTTTGCTTTGAGCATGTACTTGGCACACTTCGAGTTGATGTAGCGGTCTGCCGTGTCGAGCGCCTGCGCCTCGTCTAAACACTGAACGGCTCCGATCATGTTGCCCGCATGTTTATAGAATTTAGCCTTCGCAAGGTAGAGTTCAATCAGCGTGGGCGTATGCTCGATCGCTCGTTCGACGAGTTCCAGCGCTCGTTTGGTGTCTCCGATGTGGTCGAAATGTTGACATGCGAGATATAGAGTCCAGACGACAGAGGTCACCGGCTGGAGCTCGGCCCCGTCGCCCCCGGCCGATTCGAAGGTGCTCGATATGACAAGGTTCTGAAGGTACATTTCGATTAGTTCCTCGATGATTTTCACGTTCTGTGGATCAGCGTACAGGGGCTTGAGGTCGACGAAAAGCGGCGGGACTCCTTTAGTGATCGCGCGTCGCATGTAGTCGTCGACCAAGGATCGAAAAGTCTCTCCGGATGACATGTTGAGAGGCAGGCGTCGAGGAATTTGCGCTCGAGGGAATTTCTTGCTGAATTCTTCGAGCATCGCTACTTTGTCTTCGTCCTTGTCCAGACAGCGCGCTTTCATCATGCCGTAGTAGAATGCCTTGTTTTCGGGATTCCTGGTGATCAATTCGTTGTAGAGCTTCTCGGCCAGGTCGAACTTCTCCAAACGCAGATAGACCTCCGCTCGCATCTCCATGAGAGACAGCTTATCGTAGATAAGGCCGGCATTGTGATCCATTCGTTGTAATACCTCGACGTAGTTTCCCGATTCGAAAATTATCTGCAGCTCGTAGAGCAGAAGCTCCGACTGCTCGTAATCGTACGAAGTTTTGTTCTGGATTTTCAGGAACTCATCAATTAGTTTGACTGCCATTTCGTGGTCGTCGAGCAAGTGGTAACTCATCGCGAGACCTATCCATGAGGCTTTCTGCGTCGGCCTGAGGGTGAATAACTTGTGACGGGTTTCTTTGTAGCCCTCGAGGTCTCGCATCTGGATTTGCAACAGCGAAAGATCTCGCAGGATCTGTATGTGGTCCGAATCACATTTCAACGCGTTCCGGTAGGCCCGGATGGCCTCGTCGTATTTTCTGTCGGAGCGCTGCAGTAGCCCGAAAACGTGCCAACAAACGTGACTCTTGACGTCAGACTTGAGACCGCGCTTTACGTGCTCGTACGCTTCGTCTTTCCGTCGCAAGCAATTGAGCAGCAGGCCTTTCATGGCGAGCGTCTCACCGTGTTCGGCATATTTCGGGTTCGACAGGATCTGCTTCGCGAGCTTTAGACCATTTTTGTACTGCTTGTTTTCGTAGCAGCGGAGAATTTTCTTGAAGACCGCATTCTCTTTCTGCGGCAGCGGTTGATTGGGTGACATTTCCTCGATGTACGGCTCGTTGGGATGCTCCTCAAGGAACACAATTCAAAACACACACCGAGAGACCCACCGACAGAAGTTGTTAGAAGTACTCTCCCTCGTGCAGCAGCAGCTATTTTCTACGAGAATCGAATGAATTGATCTCTGCCTGGCTTCGAAACACCGCGCAGGGCTCGGCCCATGTAAACAATGATGCCGGCATATCTATCCGGGATGACGAAGCTCGAGGGTAAGCTAATCTGCACGGCACTACTCCATCGACCCGAGCTGGAGCATAAGTAGCATGGAACCGGTAATTTTCGCGGAACGCCAAGGTTTTCGGAGGAAAATTTTGAAATTCGGCGCGCGCACTACTCGTGATCTTTGATGGCTTTCTGGCGGAGCAATGGGAGTACTTCTCGGTGAAACGGTCCGCTGTCAGCGAGCAGTACTGAGCAAAGCTCGTTGCGTTTCGCATCGGTGATGGGCTCGCCTATTGGAGATTTCTGTGGCAATATGGACAAACAGTGGTGAGTGCTTTGCCATTGTGATTCAACCTCAGCGACGTTCCCCGCATCAGTGGAGTCGGGGCGGCTCCGGCTCCTCTTCCGACGAACATCGTCGAGCTTGGCCTTGTTTCACCATTCCGGAGCAGAGACTCTGTTGATCAGTCGTTCGGTAGCGAATTAGGATCGCTGCGAAGCACGGCAGGATTACGTGAAGCTTCCGTTTCTAGTGGGCAGAGTCGTACACGTATATGAGGTTTCGTCGGGAGAAGTTTTCCATCATCTAGAACCGTGGTTCAGAACCATCAGGTTGCCGGAACTGTTATTCCTCATGCTGATGTTCGAGCTCTTGAGCCGGCTGTTTCAAGTCTGAGTGTCGGTCGAAGCTTTGACGCTTCCTGCCGCGAATCGGTACTACGAAACATCTTTGACTCCGACGACCCTCTCAGACGCTCGGGTACTCAAAGAGCGATTCCCGACCAGGATCTTTCGGGGAAAACTCTGTATCGTCTACCTCAAGTGGATTGTGGTCTTCGTTTCTGTGCTCCTCCCCCGTTCGTGAATTGTCCGCTACTTGTCCTAGGTCCTTTAAATTCCCTAAATCGATGTCCCCTTGTCGTGGTCGTCCCCGATGTCGTCATCCGCTCGCTGCTGTATTGTTTCGAACCCCGGACAAGATTGATTCATATGAAAAAGGAACATAATGGGCCGCAGCGGTAGCGGGCACCAAGAAAGATTAGGTGAATTGAATAGGATGCATCAAAAGGGAGCAGCCGCTACGCCGTATCATGATCTTCATATGAAGCGCTCGGTAATTGGACAATGGCCCGCAAACTGTGAGTCGTCGGATCCTGGATGCGGCTGGGTGCGTTCTCGTAAGATCGGTGGAAAACTTTGCCACCATCGCCATCGCGGCCGCCACCAACCAGCGCTCGTGCTCCGGAGGGGATTTTTCTGATTTTGACTGTCGGTTGTTCCCCGATTCATTCCGACTTCAAAAAAGGTTGTTAGAATTCTTTATGAGAGAAAAACTCAGGCCCAGATTCCGCTGAATTCGAATCATGTTCTCTATGATATCGATTCCGACATCCCACATCGGGGCGGACTTGAGAAATTTCGGGACGATGTCGGATCCGTGCATGTGTTCAACACTCGCCGGAATTCCCTCGGAGGATTGGATTTTGGATTTTATCCTTCGGATGAACTGCAAGTGGTTTTTCGCACTGTTTACGGTCCGTGAGAAATTATCCAATTGGGTCCCGTTTATGCTTCAGTGTTGCAACTGTTTTTTCTTTTGTGAGATTTTCTCGGCTCTTCAGTTTACGGACGAGGATAGCGGCGATGAAGGCGGCTTCGTAAAGGCAGTATTCCGCGCCGACGAGAGTGAAACAGTGTTTCTTCCTGCCATGAGTCGAATCGGTCGTCGAAGCCATTACTCATCATTTCAAAATGTGTTTCTTTCGCCCTTCTCTTTCCTTGGAAACGCATTCGAGGCCCCCGCGCTCTTCCACCGTATTTAATCGAAGAGAGAAGCACCGGAAAAACGCCGCTCGGAGTCGAACAGAGTAGTCTATCGCACTTATCTCGTGGGCGTTGCTTCCGGTTATTCACGCGAGCCCTTTATTCCTCAAACTCATGAGTGACCGCGTGGCGAACGCGCGAGCGAGGGCGCGCATGAGGTTCCCATGTTTTCCACATCTTGCTTGTGGCGGAGCGAGATACTCAAGTCTTGTCCGGAGAAAGATTCTGATGACTTTTTTTCTTCTCTCCAGACGCCCGCACTCACTGACCAGTGAAGCGTGAAGTGACAGGAGCCGAGTTCCGTATCTCTCAAGACACAATCTCATCCAAAAAAATGGGGAACTGCGTGTCCCGAGAAGGGAGCAAGAAAGGTGGATCCTCGCACAACTCGGGAGCTCAAAACAATTGTGGTCATCACAATGGAGGACTGGCGAGTAGTAATCATCTCCAAACACCCAGTCACCATCCCATGCATTCCGGAGGGGATCGGCAGAAGTCTTCCAACGACAAACACGAAGGTGATCATCGATAAGCACGAAATCTAGTCGTTTCGCTGTGCTCTATCCCTCCGTCGCCATCGACCATTGCAATTCTCGATACAGTCTGGACGTATGAGGAAACTTTGTAGCCGCTCGTGCTTGTGAGCGGAATTAATTTACCGCTTCATTCCAGGTCCTCAGAGCACTAACGGTACGCCGAACCGGGGCTCGGGGGATCGTTACTCTAAAAATCCGTCGACCGATCTGAAAGAATGCAGAAGCTCCGGCAGTGCTTCGGGCAGCGGCCAACAGAAATCTGTTGTGGCACTGTATACGTACGAGGCTCGCGCTGACGGCGACCTCAGTTTCAGAAAGGTTGGTATCCTGAGGATGTGAGTTTTCAAAATCTACGAATCAAGACCCCAAGCTCCGGAATGCTTGCAGAGAGCTGTCTTCACTCGAGATGTTGGGTCCTTCTTGCAGGGTGATCGCCTCATAATCATCGACGATCGCGATCCCGATTGGTGGTGCGCTCGGAACAGCCTTACGAATCGACAAGGCTACATTCCGCGGAACTATGTGGCGGCCGAGAAATCGGTCGAGAGTGAAGATTGGTTTTTCGGAAGAATCTCACGGAAAGACGCTGAGAAAATGCTCATGATGGAAACCAATCCTCGGGGCACGTTCTTGATACGACACCGAGAACAAACCCAAGCAGGGGGGTACTCACTGTCCATCAAGGACTTCGAGTCCTCGAAAGGCGACCATGTGAAGCATTACAAAATCAAAACGCTCGATCAGGGTGGATTCTACGTAACGACCAAAATGACATTTACTTCACTCCAACATCTAGTTGCTTATTACTCGGAAGGTTAGTCATCCTCGTAGTCATGGTGTGGTATTTCTTTGTTTCGGCCTTATCGCTGTCTCTCTCGCGTTTTGCCCTGAACTGATCGCATTCGATATTTGTTCCAGGCGCTAACGGACTTTGCCACAGACTGACCCTTCCGTGTCCGAAACCCAAACCGCACGTCTGGGATCTCTCACCCGAGACGAGAGATGAATGGGAGATTCCCCGAGACTCACTGGAACTCATACGCAAGCTAGGCAGTGGGAACTTCGGCGAGGTTTGGTACGGTCTGTGGAAGAGTGCGACAGAGGTCGCCGTCAAAACACTGAAACCTGGCACGATGGATCCAGCAGCCTTCCTGCAGGAGGCTGCGATCATGAAGAAGTTCCGACACGATAAGCTCGTTTCGCTGTACGCCGTCTGCTCGAAGGAGGAGCCAATCTACATTATAACCGAATACATGAGCAACGGATCTCTGCTCGAATACCTGCGGAAGCAAGACGAAAAAACGAAAGTCAAGCTACCTGTTCTCATCGATATGGCAGCCCAGATCGCCTCTGGGATGCAGTATCTCGAGAGCAAACAACTCATTCATCGGGATCTCGCCGCGAGAAATATATTGGTAGGGGAGAACAACATTGTCAAGGTAAGGGAAGAGGGGCCGGCGGAAATACTCGAAATAATATCTCCTAATGAGTAGGACCCGGAGTTTGGAATATTTTCGAGTTTTCGTTCGAAGTACCGTCGAGTTTTCGCTCGTCGAGACTTCGACCGACGACGTCGAGCTCCGAATTCATTGACTTGATTCCCGTTCGCGATCTTTCTCAGGTGGCCGATTTCGGTCTCGCTCGGATCATCGAAGATAGCGAATACACAGCGCGGCAAGGAGCAAAGTTCCCCATCAAGTGGACTGCTCCTGAAGCCGCGCTCTATGGAAAGTTCTCGATCAAGTCCGATGTGTGGTCGTACGGCATTTTGCTGTATGAGTTGATAACCTACGGCCAAATACCGTATCCAGGTAAGTTGAGCTCTCCCCGGAGTGACGTTCTGCGCTGCCCGGGCTCGCTAAACTGTGTTGATTCAGGCGCACTATCAAGACAGACGAGCGATCGTGTAAATCGAGATTCCCCCCAACAGGTATGCCAAACCGACAAGTGATTGAGTACATCGAGCAAGGGAGCCGCATGGCGAAGCCACAAGGAAACGAGTGTCCCGATTCCGTATATCAATGCATGGTTCATTGCTGGGACGCGGATCCTGAAAAGCGACCAACATTCGAGTACCTCTTCAACTTCTTCGACGATTATTTCGTTTCGACTGAGCCTAGTTACCGAGACGCCGAAGAGTTCTAACCCTCGTCCGCGGGACGGGGCTGCCTCCCCCATTCAATAACTAGGTCGTCGCTTCATTCCGGTCCCCTTCCTCTGGAGACCACCCCGGAGGAAAATCTTCCTCTGGGCATCGAAGAAGAAGTAGGCCTGACCTTTTACGGCATCTTCTGATGCGCGGAAGTACCGGCCGCCGCCGCCGCTGAGGTGACGTCTCGCTTGCTGTACTCGAGCAGCAGCAGTTGCGGCGGTTCCTCCGTCTCGATCGTTTTCCGACGTCAGCGTTCTTCATGACGTGAAAGACGCGTTTGTCCGACGTGGCGTCTGTGCATGATGAAGGGATTGGAGACGCCGAACGTTTGGAATGCGATCGATCGTCTAGAGGTCGTTCATCTGTTGCTCAACGATCCATTGTCTACAGGGTGCGGGGAGCCCGTCCGACTTATCCAAAGAAATCTCTGCCACACTCCTGTATCAGTGCCACCCAGTCACCCATCCCCAAACGCATCTTCTCTCGACGGCAAAACAAATCACTCTCCCACCTGACCATTGAGCTGCCTACAACTTAATTGAATCCCCGAATTGAGGGTGCAGATATCAAGGTTTAGAATAAGAAGAAGAAACCAACTATAGGTCGGACTCGGTAACTGCGGTTCAGTAGAAGTACTGAAGTCTCTAACTCGAATGGTGTCACTAACATTCCTTCCCATATGCTGGATCACGACTGTGGACTGTTCGGATGCGAACTTTGTGTAGACAACCGGATGTGTTATTTAAAATAATTCTCCCACGAGCCCACCCCAAGAGGCCTCGCGGAGCTACGAAACCGGGAACGTACTTCACTGACTGAGATTGTTTGGCACTCACGTGCATCCTCCCTCTATCACGTGCATCTTAATATCCGTGCTGAATCAGCCATCATGAATATCATTGACAGGTGCAATACAATACTCGTCGCTCGTGCAAAGGACCGGAGCGAGGGAGCTTCAGCGCTCCGGCCCTGATCTGATTTTTTTTCCTCATTAAGACGCCGAAAGGATCAGTCCACAGCCGATCCCGTGTTCGATATACAATAATTCACATTTTTGAGGCAAATGGAACCGAAGGATAAACCGTCCTTTCGTGTATATTTTGAGACGGTCCACTGTACATAGCGATCGACTAGGCAAGCGAAGCCGACAGAATGACAACTCAATGAACGGCTCGAGAAGCTCTTGGTTTGCTCAACACGTCCGCGAAAACATGCCGCGGAATCTCAGCGGATTCTAGCCCTCCTAAATCTCTGTTGACCTCTACATTGAGCACATCCTGCTGAGTAGAACTCTGATCCTCACATTTTGGTCGGTACGGAACAGGAGAAATCCGACGTGTAGATCCCCTTGACGATTTGTGCGTTATTTTAAGCGACTTGTTATCTCGATGACGAATACATTTGTACCTCCAAGAATGGATGTGAGGCTCGAAAGACAGCGACAACGACCGTCACAAGAAATGAACCCGAGGAAGCCATTAACGAACGACTGATATCCAACTCAATCGATACGGAGTTTTGCTCTCACTGCTCTTTTGTACATAAGCAACCCTCTCTCATGATTATAGTTGAATAAATTCCCACATGTCTCAAACAGGAGTTCATCGGCGGTATTCCCTCCTGCTAACGATTCATTACAGGGAGTCCTCAGACCGCTCATCTGTCCCGAGTCGTACGTTGGGGATTGAACTTTTGGCGTCCTACCCTCTCATTGGAGACCCTTTGTAGACTCCCAGAGGCTTCCAAGCACACGATGAAGCCGTCGCTCGGAGAAACGAAATCTCGATATAGCTCACTGATTCTCTGTCAGGATCGAATCGCGAAATCTCCATCTTCTAATATTGTCCTTGCGCGCTCGATGCTGTTCTACGTGGCTGTGAGGTCGAAGGACACGCGGGGATTTCCGATTCCTCTGCGCAGCATCCTGCCGAGATCTCCACGCGTCACCGGCCGGGTCTCGCGAATATCGATCTAGCGATCCACATGCTTTGAGAATGCAGAATCTGGGAAGAAAGATAATGTGTTTTCGCGGATTATTCTTGTCAAGGAGGAATCGTATGCACCTGCATGAATCGAATCGCACTTGGATGAATATTTCAACGATCTGTGGTAGATGTAATCCATTCGTCTTCTGACGCCTCAGCTCGCGGTCGACGGGCCCTCGAGAATTATTCTCCCCGAAACTAATCGAGATTTCCGGCGTTTACGGCTCGATTCGCCGATGTGGTTCGGCGCGGAGTCGCTTATACAGCGCCAGAACTCGCGCAGTGGTCTCCACTCTCTACGAGCTTCCCCGTTAGGGTGTCATATATCACAAAACAGAAACATCATCGAACGTGATGAGACGACGTGACCAACATGCGGCTCTCACTGACTAATAAAGCTACAGGGACGCTGTCTATCCATCTTGAGTGCATATCCTGCCGGGTTCAGGGCTCAAGTATCTTGGTCATCGAGCCAACTGATTTCTTCGCTTCATTGTTCAGCGCCAGCATCAGAGATCTTTACTTTCTCGTAGTGTTTGTTTTTCCGTCATGGCAATAGGAATTGACCGAAACGAAGATCAACAGTCATTGGATTAAGATGTCGAGAAGCCGAGCGAATTGCGCTCAAGTTCGCCAGAATCGGTGACTACGCGGCCGCGGTTCCATATAGAGCGTTCCAGTTCTGATAGAGTGAGTGAATGTCCGACGCAGGTTCGTTGCGCCGAGCGGTAGTTCCGAGTTCGTGTGAACAACTGAATGGATTGTGTTCGATTCGCCTAATCGTTGCCTACTTTGCGGACCCCTCGTAGAGCTTGCGATCTGGTCCCTGGTGGCGACTCCACCCGGGACCTCATCATCCCATGGTGCACTTCGACCCTCACTTCAGTGGAGAGAACTCAACGGTGACCAACCCCGGGGTCGTTTCACTCGCAACAAGAAGCTCTGCTCTCAGCTTCCGAACTCTGAAGCGAGTGCCGTGAGTCGAGAAGCTTCGGTAAAAAATCCGGTGGCACTTGTCGGTGAAAATCTTGGACGCGGCTACGAATCTGACGTAAGTTGAAGTCGAGCAGGACCTGGAGTCTTGAGGACATCACGTCCGATCTAGTTCAGCGAGTTTCGTAGAAGTAGGTGATAGGAAGCTTCAACGATCAATGCTCATGATTGGAATTCGGGAGGTCCCTCCCTCAGATTGCCAGTCCATTGTGGTCTTCGAGCAATGGCGACCATAAAATCTCTATGCTGTAAAACCATAGATCAAGCGGAGCGCAGGTTGCGTTCATTTTCTGAAAGAGGAGCAAAAGTCGACGAATTCAAAAATCGAGTGCGCTCTGAAATGAATCGCGCGGGATTTCCGGCCGACCGGGAATCGATTTGTCGGGCTGACACGAGCAGGAGCTCCCTCTGACTTCTGCCGATATCTACATATTTTTATCACGGTATCGCTCTCGGAATGCTCGGAGTTCGGAGAACCGCGGGTGGCAGGTGGGATTTTCCTCATGGATTGCGAAGCCTGATATTCCCCTTTCGCCATCGAGAGACTCGCTATGATCTCAATAACAAGTGATTTCGCCATGTGTTTCCGCTGAACATATGAGTTGGATATCGCGGGACAGGACAGCTGGAGACCGTTTCGAGGTGGCGTCTTGGCTCCCGGATACCATTCACTAATATGAGGTAAACTCCCTCGTATGAGTCAAGAACTTGGATCCGCACGCTGCGCATGCCCCGAATCTTGAATGTGTGCGGCTCCGTCAACCGCTCCAATGTGAAGAAACGGCCGAAGATGCAGTTGAAGATTCTCCCGCGAGATGGCGCGCGGAGCTTCTGTCCACTCACTCTTGGCAAACGCTGTCGACGTCACGAATCTTCCGTAAAAGAAACAGAGAACTCCGTTGGCTCTGAGTTCAGTTCATTGTCTGTTGTTTCGTGTCTCCAGTACGCCCTTAGATCTGGAAAAGTGAAGGACTTGCTGGGTTGAGCTAAGGATCCTGCTCTCGCGTACGCAAAGTAAGTCATCCCCTCACAAGATGCGGTCCCGTCGAAGTAACGGTACCGGAAACAGTAAACAGTGCGAGCAGATTGCAACATCGGGCAACATTCGAAGCGTTGACGTCTGGCGGACATGTCCAATGCAGTTGTCACACGGCCGTGCGGAACTAGCCCCGCATCTGACTCGCCGACGCCCAGATATGAGCATGAACTCGGAAGGGAACGAATTCCTTTCTGATGAAACGAAAGCACTTTTGGCAGAAGTCCAATCGCAGACCGAGCCGGGGCTTTCGAGCCGTTCTCTCGGGTTCTAAGTGCTGTTGCGTCGAAGTCATCATTGGCTATGTATAACATGGTCTGAATGGGACGAAAAATTTTCACGACATGTTGTCCGGCCCGAAACTGTCGGGAGGCGCTCTTCCGGCTCCCGATGGGCTCCCAGCCAGGAGCGTCACCGGTCCGCCATGGGAATTATGAGGAATTGAGTCCGAGCTTAGCGATTACAATCACTTCTACGGGTTGTTCTCGGGGAGTTCTCTGATGATATGATTTCTGCGGAATGACCCTTTCCTCGCTTCTGCCTCCACGGGATGCCACGGCCCCGAGCCTACACGGTGCATGGGCAGGGCATCGAAACAACCTGTCGCTTGGCTGGCAGGACCAGATTCCCATCAAGGCTGAAATAGTGCCCCGGCTGGATCGTTTCCGGAATAGTCAGATCGAATATGTTCAGGAAGCCTTAGAGTAACAATCTGAAGTCGAAGCCCGAGGGGCATCCTGGATATTATCTCCATCGATTGTGAGACGTCCAATCGGTCCCCAGAAGCCCGTCCTGGGAGCTTGAAGACAGAGGGAGCGATAACGGAAAAATATTGAACGTGCCCGTGTTCGCCCCATCGGAGCCGTGTGAATAGCGAGTACCTAGGTACGCTGTCGACGAATCCTCATAGGCTAGTCGTTGTACGAGTACGAATTGGAATGTCGTCCCACTGGCCCAATTGGAATGATTCACACGCTCGGTCGGTTGTTCGCTCGTTCGCGTATACGTCCTGCCATGCAGTCCAGCTGAACTATGGGGCGCGGTGAGTGCGAGTGAGCGCCGGTCCATTGTCACCTCAGTGTATTGCCGCCTCCGACGACCCGCTTCTCTTTCTCCTGTCGATCTATCACTCAGCGTTCGGAGTCCGCCGAATCGGGCGAAAGCTGTTGTTTTCGGAAAGGGGTTTCTTGCGCGGGGGATCTCAGTCTTGACTTAACACCTGAACAAATAAGAGCATTGCTCCCAGAGAAGATCGAAATTCAGCGTGACGTCCCCGAATCGCGATTTTGAGAGAGCGTGGATCCATGTGCGTCTCGGGGGTGCGTATCATCGGAGCCTGGTCATGGCTGACTGCTAACTCAATGTTTGAGTCCCGAATCGAACTTATGAAAAAGTTTGACTTCATGAACGGTACGTTTAAGGGGCCAAGGTCGACTCCGGATAACCTTCGCTCATATCCGAGGTTGAACGAGCCTGTTGCGCAGTTCGCTCGAATCCTCAGCTCCAGACCGAGCCCCGCAGCCCCCATCGCGAGATGGGGTCGATTCGCATTCAGCGGAGGAGTCCTATTGGACATTCTTTGAGGCGACGCGTGGCTCGAAGGGCTTTCGAAAACTCCACATAGGGCACGTGAACCTTTGACAAAGCGGAGCCCTCGCGTCCAGCTTAGATATTCTTTCGTAGTGCGTAGGAATCACCGGCTACATCAACGAGATGAGAAACCAGTCTTCCACGTTGAATTGAGATCGCATTTCCGTCGGATCCAGAAATTGTGGGAGATTCCTTTGCTCACGGTACGAAGTATCTTTCGCAGATCGTCGAAAGAGGAGAATCCTCGACTAACTCGGTGGTCAACGGAAGAGATTCGTCAGTGACAGTCTGCCATTCTATCCCCATTGTCAGCAGCCCTTTTCTATCGGTTATTTGTGAATTTTGAGAAACTTTTCCAGGCAATTCCCGGGACCCGAGGACTCCCGAAATATATACCATGCGAGGCCCGCTGCTCATGCTTGCGATCTCGTTGGCTGTCGCAACAATCGCGGAAGGTAGGTTACTGAGTATTCTGGAAGGCGTTCAGAGCCCCACCCGATTCTATGAGAGCCTTGCAGCCTCCGGTACGGCTCAGCGCAATATACGAGTCCGTTCCTAATTGAGATGATCGCCACAGGTCGATCCCAGTCCTGCTTCAAGTGCCGATCCAGAGGTGACCGAGGCGACTGCAAGGACCCCTTCATGTACAATGCGACGGCAGCAGAAAAAGTCAAAGGCATCAAGGTTGAGCCATGCGCTTCAAAGTGGTGCGGGAAGATCATCGAAGGCAAAGAAGATGGTGAGTCTAAAGCCATATCATTCCCTCCTCCCCGATCAGACATAGAAATCCGATCTATAGCATGATGCCGTTCCCCTGAATCGAACAGTATTCAGATTTCATTGAGGAATCGACCCATGCCCCAGGACGCATACGACGTCCGACTCATTGATCATTTGATCATGCTATAATCCCGCTCGATACTTTGGGAATCCCCAATTTATTCCCGTCCTCCAGAGAGAAAGTCGAAGGGAAACGAGGTGGGAAGTCTTGTACTCGATTCAAGAGAGATCGCCCCATCGATAGCACTGATACTTGAAACACGGCGATATTATGCTCTGGCCGATGCAGAGCCTCCGCTGAGGGTTCCGACTCGATCGCGATATAGTCCCCAGATCCCGAATCGAACCCGTTCAGGAGGAAACGTGACCGATGACGCCGGCGCTGGTTGGTTACTGCGGGTCATTCACAGAGTTTTAAGTGAATTCCACGCGGATGGCCTTGAGCCGGCTAGACCGAGGACGACTGTGCCCTCTAATGAGGGCGGTGTTTCGAGAGTCCCCGGAGGCAGCACAGATTCCGAGAACACGTGCAACATGGCTGGCTCCCCAGCCATCAGTCCCTGAGGGCTAATCTGACCCTACGAAAACGTTGCGGGTCGAGCTGGACGCAACACGAATGCACCGTATGCATCCCCGCATTCGGTTGGTGTTGGTATCGTTTCCGTAGGCGATAGAACGCTCGTAACCTCATCCTCATCAGATTTCTCTGGAGCAGAGTAGATACTTAGTTCCTTCAGAAACTATTTTCTTGATCGAAATTCAACGAGACCGATGCATCGCACGATCGATGACCAATGATAATAATAATGATAGTTTTGACTCACGAAGGATTCATTAGAATCGTTCTCATGCAAATTGATTTATCCATTACAGATCAAGATTTCGCCACAGAGCGTCTCTGTCTCCAGCGACCGCCTGACGATAAGGTGGAACGATGCGCGGATGTCGTGCATAAACGGAAGAACGTTTTCATGTGTTTCTGCAGCGGAGACCTGTGCAATTCTTCGGCCAGAACCACGATGTCTTTCATCCACCTCGCGATCGCTTTCCTAATAACGAGATTCCTGCTGTAGAATGATTACGAGAGAAGCCAAAGCAATCTGAATCATGAGCAATTATTATTGACAGGGCATCGAACATCAGAGCCTTTGCATCTACGATCGTTCTCGAACTTTCACCGTACATATGTATTAAGTTATTTCTACTGAGAGGAAGAAAAGGGAATGAAACGAATGCACCGATGGAGCTGTGGGATTGACGGAGCAAAGATCAGGATGCGGCCAGCCAAGACCTTCAAAAGCGCGAGCCGGGCTGCCATGCTCAGAGGGTTTCGATCCCTGTCGATTCGGATGCAACAGAATGGTGACTGAAAACAAATCTGGGATCTCTGCACGCTTCAGCTACTAAATATAGGTACTCTCCCATCGGGACCTCCTCCCCGCTCGCTATCTCGTTTTTGATGACACCTCGCTTCCCGTTACCCAGAATCAACAATATTGAAGTTTGATGTTATCTTTATTGCCTCTGCCAGCGACGTAGCCTCGGTCGTCGACAGCATCGAACTGAATGAGCAGCGGAGGGGAGCTACACGCGATTGTTCGGAGTTATCCTTAACCTTACCGTTTCATCCGCTCCGCTGCTGTGCTTGTCTTGGAATTTACTCGGAATACTCTGAAAGCACCGAGTACAGATCTGCGACAATCAGGACACGGTGCCGGATCATATCCCAGTGCTCAGCACACGTACCATTCTTTGTATGACATGTAATAGGATACAGGCGCTGAAGCTGAAACTTCAATCGTTGCGGCGTTCAAATGATTCGTATACATCGTGTAGAGTGTTTTAGGTAAAATCTTCGGATCCACTCAAGTACTCTCTCGGACTGCGCCGGGCTCCATCTCCCATAGCTTCGAGAAGACGCCGATTCATGCTCATCCGCCGCGTCAGGCAAGCCTTGGGTTCCACGGTTCAAATAATTGGCACCCTATACAATATTACAGTTTTCTGTTGATCTGTTTGTTGTACGAAATAAAAAAGATCGAGAGATCAAACCAAATGATTCCGCTGACCTCGCTCAATTGATCCTCAAATTCTCACGTTCTCCGAGAACGGCTCTGATATCGTCCGAAGACGGTTAGAGCCGATTCTGACTATGCCAGAGCTCACACGAATGCCGTGACGCAGAGGAGGGACGATCCTATTCTTTGAATTATATCTCTACGGTGGAGTCCAGGAACCTGAACTTCGACCGTGCAATCGACTCTGGGGCTAGGGGAGGGAGGTACGAGCAGTAAACGGCTTCTCTGGAGAGGCCTTCTCCTCACTGTTGAGAAGAAAGGAATCGTATCCTGCTCGAACGGAGGTTAAGGAACAAGGGATTGAGTCGATTCGGTAATGAGGGACCTAAATTCGAAAATTCAAACAGTGGTTTATTTTAGTGTATGATACTTTGATGGATGAACTGATGGCTGAGGGATGCTTTCTCCCTCGGATGAAGAGGAGAATGAATCCATGTGACGGCAGCGGCACTTGCGGCAGGTAAGCTAGTGAACTATTTACAATGAGAAGGCCTAGGCTACATCTGCCCACCGACAGAAGTGTAGCGCTACAATGTGCCCTATTAACCCTAACTGCGCAAGTCGCCTGCTTCGAGAATCCGGAAATTGAGACCACGAGAGGGACTCTAAGCCGCGGACGCTGTTCCAGATAGACATACGTGGCTTCCGTCACCACAAAAGAGGAGGTCTTCACGAGATCCGGACGATTTCGGGAGACCCTCAAAAAAGTCGCGTAGATTTCTTCTTGGTCGATCGTTTCTCCAAAAGCCCTCTGAGATTCGGAGGGAGTGGAGAAATCCGTTAGAGCGCAGAAAGCGAAATTGATTCCTCGAATCGCTTCTCTTCTGTACAATCTACACAATCATCAAGCTTCGAATGGAATTTTGACTCTAATAAATAGAATCCTTCATCGAATTCCTTCATCAATAGAACGGCTCCATGCGATGTTCTTCGTGATGATGATTCTCCAGGGTGAACTCAGACGAAAATCTCGTGATCGCTCTCTGAATGAAGTTTCAATTCGAAGCCGGAATCCGAGCCCGACGATATGTTCGATATAGAAAATGACCGCTTCTTTCGACTCAAACTCGAATTCGAGGGAAGTTGCCGGCACTTTCTTTGGCTGTAGGCGCTGCATCGGCGACAGCAGGTGGACCTAGAATGGAGAAGCGTTAGAGAGGAGCTTCGTGTCGCTAGGCGCAGTTACGGCCTCAACCTCAGCTGTTAATCCAACCAGAAACCGCCAGGCGCAGTCTGTTCGTTGCAGAATATTTGTAAGTGTGAGCGTGTCTCGTGTATCTACCGCGGGTCCAAAGCCAAATTTGATTTTACCAAAGCCCTAAAACGAAAACCAATATTCGGGTCGAAAACCACACTTGATGCAACTGATACTTCCGAAACCATACAGGTAGGTACTACACGTTTGGAATCCGTAACGGCAACAGAACACAAGGAGCCCGGACACTCCAGGATGAATGACACACTATCGCTAGACATGAGATTATTGTTTTTACATGCCACAAGACACACCAAAATAGGAAAAAAATGCAGGAAGATGGAGGAAAAATAAGAATCGAGGTGAGACTTCATCCACGCCAGATCAGCAGTCCTCAGATCAGGCCACCAATATATCCAAGCAGCACCGTTTCCAACGACATCGGACAATGTATACCAACGGAAGATCTGATCAGAGTGTTCTGGTCCCGATCGCGCTCTATCTGAAGCAGACAGCGCGTGTTGTAAAGACGACACCGACCAAACAGAGATTTTCCGACGCTTCGAGTTACAGGAAGTGTTGACGACCGTCCAAATCATGCCCACGAGTTAGGACACGGTAAAAGGAAAAATCAAACCATAGGGTAGGTAGGTAGGATGGTTGGTAGGTTTGTTCGTTGCCTCCCGGCCGGGTCCCCTTGGAAATGGGCTCGTTGGTGTTTCTCGGAGGAAGTATACAGGGTGGATGGATCATTTCAGACCTTTCCGAGCCATCATGGCCAGAAGGTTGAAATCGTGCCAGAGAAAGGAGGGGAAGACAGTGCCTTTGTTCCAGAAACCAGTCTACCTATCTCCTTAACATCTAGATGACGACCCCAAGGGGTCCCCGCGAAAATTGTCCGAGCCGCCATCGAGAACTCGGTCATTACCTGCTTTCGACCTCATTTCGCGTGGCGATGGAGACCTATCTAATGGTTTATCAATTATGTATTCTAACTATCGATGGATAACTGATGATTCTCGGGATTAGCGACAAGCACACTCGCTACCAGGAGTGAAAGTCGCGAGCGGAATTTCCATAAATGACCCTCGGAATCTCGCTATCAAGTGACCCCGATGCTGGAAAGGAGAAATGAGGGAAGAAAGTTCCCAAAGTGGGTGCCCCTGCAAGGCGGGTACCTTTGCTTGACCGAATAGGAGCTTCTCGATGAAGACGAGGTCGACATTGCTGAAGGCGATGAGATGGGGGTCCATGAAGGCGTCGAAACAGGAGTTGAAGCTGCAGATGAAGCCGGTGATACTGTCGTATCACTCTCCGATGAAGATGATGACGATGAGGAGGAGCTGAAGGAACTCGATCGTGACATCGTGAAGTAGCTGTAGTGCTCTGGAATGACTGCGCGAAGAGGACGGTTAGGATGATAGGTCCGAGGAGGTCCGGGGGTGAGATCTCTGGAGTTCACGTGCGTCATTGAGGTGTCAAGAAACGAGAGGCGATATGGTATAATAGTTACCCATGTCCGACGGTGTTGATGGTACGAATATCTGGGACTTCCGTAGATCGCTGATCGAATCGTAGAGGTTCAAGAGCTGCCGGAAAAGCTGGTTGTCTTTCTCAACGAGCGAACCCTGGGAGAAATGAGAGAAGAGAACCGATGTCAACTTCTGATTACGAGATGGATGAGCGGTTTGCACGTGGTGCTTAATCATTCCGACGCGTCATAGTTTCGAAATCATCAATTCGTAAGCGGCAGTCCGTCGCAGGCATAGCCGTGCTGTAGGAATAAATCTCGATCTAATCATCGGAGATGGCGATTCCATGTAACGGCTTGCTGGGAAAGGTTTCTTCGCGCCGATCGCAAGGGACATCAGCTCAATGAGAGTATATCCGCTAATCGAAACCGTATGAATGAAATTTTCCCACAGAACTCAATAAGTGGCATGCGGGCTTCTCGGCCTCGGGCCTGGTATACAATTCTATGGCCAGTTCATTTGCGACCCATTCTGACATGGAAGCTACGTGTGGGTAATTCGATATATTGGGGAAGCATCGATCAGCGAACTTTATAGTTGATTGAACAAATATTCAATGGATCGAGTGGCATCGAGCCATCTCCCTCCCCTCGGCCGATTGGAAATACGGCTCCATAGTGGATGTCATGAGGGACTCGGAGAATTGAATGTTTATGTCGATATTAATTTCCAACACACTGGCCGGAGAAATTCCTCCAATCGCCGACTGCTTCGGTTCCCGTTAATAGCTCGCGGGCGAATCCAGATCTCAATCCGAACGAAGTTCATCGATAAATTTTCTTAACGACTTCAATTCCTCTCTTCATGTTGTTCCTTCACTCCCGAATTTCTAGATTCGCCGACATATATATCGCGTTCGCAGGCCGGCGATACAGACTGGTGATTAAGCAGTGGTGGAAGTTCATACAAAACGACGCGAAGAATTATTTGCTGGGTCTTCGATTCTCCCCATTCGGATGAGCAGGGGAGTTTTCGTCTGGCTTCCAAATTGTCGCGCTGCGGAGGGGCACCGGAGGAGAAGAGAAGCGACAAGACGGAACCCGCACATCATTTCATGAGCCATCGTACCCGTTCACCTCCTCAGCTATCGGAATTTTTCTCCCGGACGGATGGACGGCGAGAAATGAATCATTCCCAGGAGACGTTACTGCCAGGTCTCAATTATATGCGGACAGATTCCGATGCTCTGCTTGATTCTCATCGGAGCCATCATTCGGTCGGTTCGGCTCAGGAATCGTATCAACCCTTTGCAAGGCTCTGCTCCGATCGAAAGTTTCCGAGCCGAATCGGGAAAAATGAGATTCTGAGAACTGAACGACCATCTCGCATTATTGTCAATTATCATCCGGAACTCTTGAGCGACCCTGTGAACCGAACATGAGCCGTCGAATCAATGGATCAGGTATGAGGGAAATGCGGGAAGAAAAAAAACAATCTTAGGAGTTGTCCAACCGATTTGGCGCTTTCGTTGTGGCTAAGCGTCGCAAATCCGCGGAAGAAAACACATCCGACTTCTGTCGAATGGCGTTCGAATCCAACGTGAATTGGGATGAGACGACCCCACGGAACGGACTCTTTGATGCAGACTTCCGATTTGAATCCGCGTGTCTGTGTGTCGCCTTTTAAAACATTAAATGACACGTCATTATTAGCAATTCAAGGAGCCAGCTGTATCAGAAATGTTGTTTATCCCGTGGCCCCATCGGTACGAGCGAAAACTCCGGAATCGACTGTTAGCACAGCCGAAGACTACGACGAGCGACCGACGCCTGCGACGATATGGCCCTAATGAGTTCCCTGGAGAAAATAACGACCGCGATTCGATTGGTGCTTGCAAGAGATATATCTCTTGTTCATCATTCGAAGGCTGTCTCCATTGATGCTTGCTACTTCAGAAAGATATTGTGAATGCTCAGAGAGAGGAGGATAGTACGCTGAAGGAGCCTAGCGACCGAGGGAGCGACGGATTGACCGACGATGCATTACTTCTCTTATTCTAATTTCTGACTGCTAGTGCCCCCTGGCTCATATTCCATCATCCCCGTGATGCCCGTCGCATCCGTATCTCGCATGTGGGAACGAATTCTTCAGCCGGCTTCTTCCCCCTGAATATATCGCATACGTTTCCCGCTCGCGCTCCTTCTCGTTTTCACATCTCCTCTCATTTTCCGCGCCGATACTGCGACAGATGTGATTCATTCGGGGCACTCATTCATTTGCCTGGTAATTTATTTCTGGCACTCATGAATGAGCGTTCGGACCGCTGGTTGAGTAAGTGAGCGCGCTTGATTGTGAGACGTATTCTGTATTCCAGAGCTAGGTCGCATCCGATATCGGCGGTATAATTTGTTAGATAAAATCAGTAGGCTCGAACTCCGCCGATATAAAAATCATCCGAAACAATCTTCTGGGAGCAGTCCATAATTTTGCTGATAAATGTATGAGGAACGATGTGACATCCAGAGGAGTCGCCTCTAAGCGGCCATGCCCCGCCCATGGATTCTCTCATCTGTTGAGGATTGTCTTGGACTACCAAGGAGGCTCCGGGGATCCGCAAGAAACTTACGGTACTCGGAACTGCGAGTCTATCTGTCGGGTCACTTTCGCCGCTTGTCTCCGTAAGTCGGCGAATATTTCTGCCGCTCCCAGTTTTTTTCATAATCTTTTCGATTATTCGCTATGGCTGGTCCTTTTCCGCATCTGTCATCTTGAATCGAGAAACCCCGTGGTGTTCGGACGCCGCACTGCATATAAACACACAGAACACAGGATAATCAAAGTACCTACCGATGGACGAAGCAGAGCAATCGTCCCAATAGTGGTACATGACGCGCACGCTGTATAATGGAGTCCGGAAAGAGGACACAAAAGTCTCACTCGAATATCGATATCGTCCGCGCCGCCCCATCTTGGCGAATGATACCGCTAGATGTGACAATCAGGAAATAAATCATTGGCGTCACCATCCGATCTGCATGAAACGGGCGAATGATTGCCACGAGCTCCTCACTATAGGGTCCTCCGTAGCTTACATGAATGTTTAGTCGTAGAATGGACGTTTCCTGCGTCTGGATTCGAGATCTCCCCCGTTGTTCGCTCATCTCGCCAAAATTCATCTCTGAGACACTGACGTCAGCGGAAAAAACTCCTGATGTTCTAGCGCTGTTTCCGGTATTCGGCATCGGGCTGACGCACAGAAAGCCGCATCAGCATCACGAAATCAAAAGCGAAAGCCATCAAACATCGATGACATGGTGTCGGATGAAAATGAGCCTTGAAAAGCCGAATATCTCCCATCGGTATGTGTGTTCGTGTTGACAGCAGCGTCATTAAGTTTTGATCAGATGGTCACGTTTTCATTCAGATCTGCGAGCTGTTTCTGAATGGAGCGATTGCGGATCGCTACCAGAGTTGTGGGGACATTAGAATTATTATCATTGTTTTTTACGGTGTTGATCGCCCAATCAGCGGGAAATTTCCCGATGTAGGCTTTCTTCACCATCACTCCTGCTCCGATTCCATCGAATCTCCACGCCTCTAAGCTCGATTCGAGCTTCGAAGACGTCACCTGTCGGCGATGCTTCCCCGAGAAGATCTACGTGACGCAGGGACTCTCCGGATGATTAGCGTAAGCCCGAAGGCCCTCATTCTTTGAATCGATCAGCGAGCAAACAGTACACTATGAGATCATCATCATGGGGAGGACAGTGATCATCCCCGGCACACATAAAATAATAGTTATAATAATCCAGCAAAGTACTGTTATTCAACTTGGATCTCTTGATGTTTGTTGATCGCCCGCCAAGGATCGAGTTTTCGTGACGAGACGGCACCAGACGGTAAATGCTCCGAAGAGCGATGTCTCTCGTGATCGATGGGTGGAACGATGCTTGTATGCGCGCCGTCTTGATCAATGGGGGTATATACCGAATTTTTGATTGAGAGGATAGGGCGACGACCAAGATCGACAAACGGTGACATAAACGCATTGTGAAGCGTAGTCGCGGCTTGATCTCATTGCCTCCGGCACCGAAATAATTCGCCAGAGTTCTTCCGAGCGGGCGCCCGTCAGCAAGAGCATCGAAAGCTCCTAACTCTGGCCAATTCTCGCTCATATAACACTTGAACGGTGTCGATTCATCAGCCGACAGAGACGATCGACCGGGTTCCCTGTTTTGTTTCAATCCATTCAAGAGCCGTTCACTCAACCTATTCGTCAGCCTGGCAAGCTAACAAGCATCCCGGGAACGAACATCGTCGATATCATTGCCGCCGCCGAAGCTCTATAGAAGAATTCGAAGATTGATCCATCCGTCCGAGGCATACATAGGTCATGCGAGTAGGATCGATAGCGTCAGCACAGCGAGTTTGGAAAAATCTGAAAGGTCGCCGGCTCCATCGAATGGTCAGCTATTGACTCTATCTTCATCGTCGTCACCGGTGCTGTTGTCATCTTTCTCAGCCACATCATTTTCATAGTGGTCGTTGCCGCCGTAGCCGCTGCGGACATTGCCTACAACATCGTCGATAAGTCCGTAAAACAATCCGTTTGCTCCTAACAATGAGGTATTGCGACTCCTGGATGTTTGCGGTTGTTGTTGTCGGCGACGACGTCGTCGAAGGAAACAAAGGGAAAATCGTTTCGCAAAAAGTGTCTCTGCCAATTACAGCTTTCCGACGTGTGCAGCAGCTTCGACCGTGCAGCGACCGATATTATCCAGAAGCGTGAGGCGACCCGGAGCCGATGCAGCAATTGTCCGCCCGCTCCGTGTTTACATCCACACCTTACGACCGATGACGGACCGACCCACAGCGAGTAGTGGCTCGCAATTCGACTAAGCAAGTGAACAACAGACATTGAATGAGACCTTGCGCCATGAAAAAGATGGCAAACATTTCTTCACACGCTGGCTAGAATGATGTCTACAGATCGAAGTCACGAATAATTGTGTGACACAAGCGGGACAGTGAGCGCTCCGAGTGCTTTCCATTTTATTCGGTGCAACGCTTGATTACGCGAACCTGGAGAAAAACGGAGAGCGACAACAGAATCCTCCGCCGGTCGGCCACCGCAGATCCAAAGAACCATCGCACCC